GCTGCGTCTTCCTCATTGGAAAACCCACAATCTATGGATATACAAACATGTTTTATTGCACTGAAAAGTCCAGTCTCAGCGAATGTGTGCTGTTTATACTTTACTATGTTGTGATGTCACAAAATCAAGCTCATACGATCGTGTCTTAAATAAGGTGAGCACAGAGAGACTTTCCCACTTCAGTAGATGAATGTGAAAAAAGCCTGCACCTATATCATTGTGCCCAGTGAAGGTCAAACATTCAAGTATAGTAACAAGAAGCAAAGACATTTTTGCATGGAGAGGGGCTTTAAAATTTGAATTCACTACAGAAAATCGAATATAAGTATATATATACATATTTATACATATATGTATATATATACATACATATACACTACACACACAAACACACACACACATATATATATATATATATATATATACGCTGTGTATCTTTTTCTATGTGGCCAGTTGACCAGTGGGTATATGTGGCATGAAGTATGACTCATATGTGTAATCCTTTTCAAAACAACAACATTCAATGGGTAGAAAAACAATATTGGTACAGCAGACAAACATCCAATACCTTTCACCTCAATGCCCTCAGTCTCTTTTCTAGGCTGATGTTACCAAACAAAAGACTAAATACATGTGTTCGTGAAAAGGAGGACATTTGAAAAGGGTGTTTGCTGATCAATAATGAAAACAGTCTGACACTATAGTAATTGCCATGAACCTCCATACTTGTATTTGCTAGATAATGCCATGTTTAAATGATTGTGCGATCGCTGACAACAAAGGGTGGCAGGGAAAATTACTGAATGGTCTTAACAGTGCTCTCATAGAGAAAAAAAGTGCATTGATTGCCCACAAGCAAAGCTTATGTTGTGATATGACTAATATGAATGGATAAAAAAACAATAATACAGGACCTACGTATTCCAAGTAACAACAAAAGGTCATCCGGACTGTTTTCATTTGTGCTCGCCTGTCCTCAGCATTACTTACCCTTTCCATGGGAATCAAGTGTTGCATGAAAAACAAAACTTTTCCCTTTGTCCTTTGTGTGAGTTTAATGATGTTATTTATGACTGCAAGGAAGGAAATGTTTTAAGGGCCACCTGAAGAAAACCAACAGAGGATAAAATAATAAAACATGATCTAGGAAATACACTCAGAAGAAATCCTGATGTCAATGAGCAAGGAACTGGTCAACCATTAAAAGACTATTTGTGGTGAAGAGAACACATCTGAGATGGTGACGAATGAACCGGCCAGCTGTGTCTTCAGGTCTTTACATAGAAAAATGCTGCATTTCATTGTGTCTCTCCAGTGGGCAGTTAATTATTTGCAATCTCACACTTGCAAGGAGCTCAGGATTCACAAGGATTCATAATTAGGAAATGTTTGAGGACATATAAAAATACTCTGGTTGGAATAATAGTTTGTCTCTGATGTTTGATTGGTTGGTTTATCCACAAAAATGCAATAAGCTAGCTTCTCTCTCGCTGACAGATACTATATGCAAATATGTTGTATTTATTTTTCCTTACTGAAAAGTCAATTTTCAGTGCAGGTTTAAGGTTTCCACATCACACTTTTGTAAATTGCATATTGCAATGTGATGTCACAAAATCATGTTAATCCATCTTAAAGAAATTAAAAATAACTTTCGATGTAAAAACAAATTAGAAATACAGAATTTTGCAGAGCGAAGGTCAGACATCTAAATGAGGGAACAATAAGCACAACACATTTCTGAGAGGAGGGGGCCCTTAACATATTTTAGTTTTGCTTATAATTTAGCACACCTCCAGTCAGATCTACTTATTCTGTGTTCTCATACAAACATAAGGTAGGTAAAACAGACACTTTTCATAACAACAGTGCTGATTATCACACCGATGTGAAATAGCTCCTCTTCCCAAGCTGGTTTAAGCCTTTCATCTTTTACTGAGTCCTAAAAAACACATGTTCAATTCACTATTCCTCAGCAAGTGTTGGAGCTGTTATTGTTTGTCCACTGCAAGGTCATCGTAAAGCTCGGCAAATGACACATCTGCGAAACTCAATGTCTCTCCATCTCACAGCATTTTCCTGTGTTAACTGCAAAAAAGGAATGAGTAAAAGGTCAAAAGTTCAAAAAAAAAGAAATAATGAAATACTTAGTGAATAATAACTGGAGGCCATTTTCAAACTGCCCTGTTGGCCATTTATGAGTTCTTTCATGTGTGACCAATGTAGATCCACTATTGTCAGATACATGGTCCGGTCATGGACACAGCATTATGTTTGCCTTCTGTGCTCGCAGCAACATGCCACTTCAGCAGCTGTTCTTACCTTTTTTTTTCTTCAAAAATGACATAACTGACATTGACCAGCATAAAACGATCACAATGAATCACTTTAACAAAAGTCAGAGCAAAGCCAAGGACCCTTCTGCGTTTTTTACAGAACAAGTAAGGAGGAGCTAGATGGATTTCTGTTCTTTCATATAATAATTTTCTTCAAAGATTGTTTGTGCCAAGGTAAAAACTAGTATTTATCAATTTTTTCCACTGCTGTTTTTATTTTATTTCAGCTTTACTGTATATGTTATTATTTAATTTTCAACATAGAGAGGTCATACAGCTGATACCCCTCTGGTTCCCACAACTGCAGTTTTACGACTGCACACAGTTTGACTTGTTTAGATTGAACGTGGAAGAAACAGCGTATTCAAGCATAGTTTCTTATTGGGGCAATAAACCGTCTAGACAGAACTCCCCTCTTTTTCACCTTCAGCCAAGCCTTTAAAGGGCATTTGTTTATCTGAATATATTGGCTTGTCTTTTGTCTCGCACTTATCAGCTGTGGGATTATATAACACATGCTGAGGCATTTTACACTGAAATAGATCCATAAAAAGGTCAATATCATGTATAATGTAAGGCAACTGCATACAGTTTATTTCAGTATATTCTATGGCGCTTTTAAATGGTAGCTATAAAATTAACTTAGCAACTAATAACTGTTCACAGCTAATGTATGAATTACTTACACATGAATATATTGTCTTTAAAAAATTGAGATGTGGAGCAAATATTCATTTTCTTTTTTTCTCTGACCAACAAAAAGAACTTAAAGATATTGAGTTTTAAATTGGAATAAACCCCTGACCCCTTGGTGTGATATACCCTTGGTAAATCATGTCTGCATAATGTAATCTATTACAAGTGAGGCATGTTAAATGCCCTGCATAACTGCAAATATACTCCATATCTTATGCTTAGATTTTAAAACAGGTTAGAGTTGAGCCACAGTGACATAGATTGAGACTCTCATTGAACATGTCAGGATCTTTACCCTCACAGCTTTTAAAAGTATAAGCTACATATCAGTGTGTGTGTGATTTTTGCGTCATCAGAAGATGTAATCTTGGGTTATTGATTATCTGGTAGTCCATTCAGATGTTCAATTGTTCCTGTCTCAATCACTTTTTTGATTATAGAGTTCACTATAAACATGCAGGAGGTGATCACTGTGTGCTGCTCTTATACAGGTAAATTCTCTTCAGTGATTAAAAGTGTACTTCCTGGAAGGTTTTTGATACACAAACTATGTCCACAAGGTGAATGTAAATGAGAATCAGAAATAACATTTTCATTCCAGTACCTTCTTCATGCCAATGCAAACATTTTAGTTTCCCATTAGTGCTGCACCAGCACCAAAACAGTTAATGATTGGGGTGACATTTGTCATATTTTCTCACATAACAATATATTTTTGGACATTAGGGCTCAGCAGACTGTCTTATAGGAAAAACTGAACCAGGGCAAACTGATCTCTTAGTACCATATGGAAGAATGAATGCTAAGTTCTAAGGCACAGTTGATACTTATTGCAGAAAAAAACTACCAGTGTACCAGCTTATTATTATATGCATTAGCCTGAACATTCACAGTAGCTCACTGATCTCTATCTATAATACTAAAGGATTCATTTTTGAGCATAATAATTGGGCACAGCTGTAAATGTAAAAGTGGGAAACTGCAGCTTCCAGGCACAATAACCATGAACAAAAAAAAAGAGATGTATGTTGCATCACATGTATCACACTTATGTCAGCCCTAAACATGTGTACAAACAGAGTGAATACAAGTGTGTGTGAAACATACATTACTGTACATTCCATACACAAAACTGCATTAACTTTTGACTGTATTTGGAAGAATTTAGACTTTCCAAACATTTATACCCCTGACACTAATAAACAGCGATCCCACGATATTTATCAGTATCACAACATCTCAACAAATAAATGCCTCAAGAAATATTATAGTGATACCATATATGTGTGTGGTATGATTAGATTACCATAAACTGACCTTCCTTTTGCACAGATGCACCACATATGTTTACAGGAACATGCTAAATACATGAAGGTGTTGCTGCAGGAGGATGAAGATATAAAATATGATTAATTTCCATGAGTCCCAGCAAAAACATACAAGATCAAAACATCCTTATATGTGAATAAATCTGATAGGGACCAAATATGAAATAGCCCAAAATAAAGTACTTCAGGTTATCATTTAAACTAAAGTTAAAGACGCCACAGGTGAGTAGTCTATCAACTTATCTATCAAACATGTTTGACTGGTCTTTTGCTGGCTTGTGTCTGTCGGTGACAATTTTTTTTTTCTTTTTTTCATGAACAAGGAAAAGAGCGATGAGTTGGGTGTTATTAACCCTGCCTCCATCCTGCAGTCCATCCACTAGCATGGCTCCTCCCGCCCCCTCCTGGCACTCCGCTCCGCTCATCAATAGGGAGCACATTTGAATAATGTGTGAGCACTTGGACTGGAGCCAATCAGCTGTCAGAGGACCGTGATAAATCGCAATGCATTATTGATAATAATAATTACGTTGACATGCGTATTTCTAGCCTACTTGAGGGGCTAATTTTCCAAGCAGAAGAATTTGTTGAAGAAGGAGAGGAAAATTGTTTGTAACTCTTTGCTCCTGATGGTTGCACCATGTCGAGGCGCAAGCAAGCCAAACCGCAGCACATCAACTCCGACGAGCCCGGTTCGCTTGAAAATGGTAAGTTTACACACACACACGGTATGGGGGAGTCAGTTACCCAAAAAAGAAAGAAAAAAACTTAACGTGTGGCCCCGCCATGCCATGTTTCTATCTCTCGACATTTTATCTAAAAAGTTGGGGGGCTGACTTTTTACATTGTTCCTCTCTCACTTTGACCTGTTGCTGTCCCTCTGTATTGACCAGTTAAACTTAGCTACAGGAGCTGGCAAGCGACATAGTCACTAAATTATTTTAAACACAATACAGGTGCCTCGCCGGGGTCGCTTTAAAATGCAACACTGTAAGCTTGAACTTTTACTAGAGACCGAGTCGCATCCTTTATTTGTAACTTTTTAAACAATTTTAATGTCGAACAAATTTCGACCAATTTCATCCCAAATCGACCACTCGTGGGGGTTTCATGTAGTTATTTCATGATTAAGGTTGAAAGTCGGGGAACCCTTTTGAACTTTTTACCATTCTTTGAAACTTGTTTTTCTACCTGTTGTCTTTTGGATATATCGTGGGCTTACTTAGGAAGTTGTATGGCAAAGAATGGCTGCATAGGCTGACCAGGGTACCTTCCATGTGTATCTTTATTTGATTGTAATATTATTAACTGGCCTCGTTTATCACGAAACATCACTTGGTGTTAAATATTAGTACATACTACTTGATCTCTTGATTGAATTTAGATTTGGTATTTTTACAGTTGTAATTTTGATTTGTACTTGTGCTTATACTTTTGCTGTATCTAATGTATCAGCGTGTATGTGTGTATATATATATATATATATATATATATTGTGGTGGCATTTATTTGCGAGTGTGCGCCAAAGTTGCAGCTTTTTTTTAAACAAAAGGTGCTCAAAAAAACTGTATGAAATGTGACTCTGGAGTAAGCTGACCTAAAGGCAATAAATCCCCCAGTTTAATGCATGACTGTTTCCTTTCGTACATATGTGGAGAGGTGGGGGATGGAGCAGTGGCCTTTTTGTGGAGACTGGGTGGGGGTGCGTTTTGGTGTTGCCATATGCAAGTTCCAGCCCTGTAGTGGATAGACCTTACCTTATAATTAGGAAACTTTGGATAACCCGCTGTTTAGAGAGCCGCGGGACATTTAGGTGTATCTGCCTCTTAGAACATGATTATGTAATGAAAGATAACTTTTCGTGTATCACACAAGCGTCTGTGAATTGAATTTTTAGTCTGACCTCGTGTCATGTACCCCACTAAAGGTGATCGGATACAGGTCATGCGCCGTCAAGTGGTAAACTAGAGTGTTGCCTCCCTATATTTACTTAATAATCGACGAGTTGGGATTTTATTTGAAGTACATTGCGATTTATTTCTCAGTTGCACCTTGTGTGTGCTGTGCCTGTCGAAGTTAATTTTATCAAGATAAGAGTGGCTGCATTTTAGGATACAGTGCGCAAATGTGGGTGGCTGAGCCATGCTTAATGTTTCCTCATGGATCAAAATGTGATGTGGTTTGCAACTTTTTTTCGTGACACTGCTTCAATGCCTCCTGTTGAGCAATTAACAAGTCCAACAGTTTCCTTTGGCAAATGCAAACAGGTGGTCTCCCCCCTTTCTCTGAGGAATTAGCATTTAACAATACACCCAGTTGTGAAATGGCCTCTTGGTTAGCAGACAAATTAAAATGCACACTTGGAGCACTTATCAGGCTTTCACGGGCTGTGAAAATACTTGAAGGTTAATCAACATTAGATTACCCCTTCCCTATTTTCTTTTTAAGAAGAGGTTTGTATTGTAAACTTAGTCTTTTATTCATTTTTTTGTGCAAACTGGGACATCAAATTCAGTGTAGAAGTTTTTAGATATCCAATACTTACTGGATTTCAGTTTGAGATTGGTCACAAGTATTGCCCCGCATGTGGTGCTGGAAATGGATCTGATTTTTAGCAAGTGCTCGAGGGGCTTATTTCAGAAATGCAGTAATTTAATGCCCAGTGGCTCTTTGTCTTTCTGGACATTGTTCTGGGTAATGTCAAAAGTAGATGATTGCCCTCTGCTGGCCCTGTGGACAATAGGCAATTTCAAAGTCTGTTGCAGCCCAGTGCAGTGACCCAGAGGGAGTGGACAAATTAAGAGGGATATATTACAAGATTATGTGATCCAACAAAACTCAAGTCTCAAAAGTTTCCACGGAATCAATATACTCCTTTTCACATTAGCAATAAATAAATAAGCAAACATAAAACTCAAAGTTTAACTGTATTGCAAGGCTGGTATACTGGATTTCAAGATATTGTAATGTCGTCTTATTTTTATCCATTACCACAATTTTACTTATCTTGACACATTAGCAGTAATGCTGTTTTCAAAACTTGCAAGTCTGTATATTACTGAGTTTACTTTTGAATAGTTAAATTTGAATTATTAATCTATACTTAATTAATCATTCATTTTAATTGCCCAAATATCACCATAACTGTAGAAGAGCATTGATTTTAAATCCTGTTATCTTGTTGTTTCAGGGATTCTCCGAGATGATCGGGCTGAGGAGACTGGAAACGAAATGAAGAGGTTCAAATTGGATGAGACTAGGGTCTGCAACAAGTGTTGTGCTGAATTCTTTGATGAAGCAGAATTTCTTGAGCATGAGAAAAATTGCACTAAAAGTCAGCAAGTGGTCATCATGAAAGACGGAGATGGCAATGAAATGCCTGAGGAATATTCACAAGGTTCTCCTGAAGGCCTTACCAGTGACCACGATGATAGCCAGTCCAGTAGTCATTCCCTATCAAATATCAACACAGACCACCTGGAAAGAACAGAAGAAGACTCAAGCATGAATGCAGAGGATTCAGGACAACAAGATCACGCAGAGATGTCTGCAAGCCCTGAGATGACTTTCCACCCCTCACCCAAAATGCACAATTCAAATGTCACTCTTGAAACCATGGCAGATACTAAAGTTGCTGTCTCCCAACATTCTTCAAGTAATACATCTCTGACCTCATCAGAGGATGCCCTGCAGGCCATCCCGATGATCTTGGAACAGTTGGTGTGCCTCCAGCAACAGCAGCTACAGCAAATACAGCTCACAGAACAGATTCGAATCCAAGTAGCTATGATGACTCCACAGAGTCTCCAGTCATCAGTAGGGGCAGCAATGGACCCTCTGAAAGCCCTTGGTGCACATCTGTCTCAACAGCTCTCTGCTGCAGCAGCTCTGATAGGAAAAAGGACCGGCAGTCAGAGTCTTTCTATGGAGACAATGAAGCAAGGTAAACTACCTCTGCCCACTGGCATCCCTGCCTCTCTACCTGGAGGACTGGGTTCAGTAAACTCTAAAACAGACATTTTGAAGGGCATTCCAGATCTGGCCAGTCGTTTACCAGCACTACTGCCCCAATCTCCAGGTGTCTTGGGTTTCCCGAGCACCTTCAATGGGATCCAAGCAGGGATTGAGTCCTCCAAAAAGGTGAAGACGAAAATGCTGAATCTCCCACCAGAATCAAAGAATGGTGACTCACTATACAAGCACAAGTGTAAGTACTGCGGAAAGACCTTCGGCAATGACAGTGCGCTCCAGATTCACTTGCGTTCTCACACCGGTGAGAGGCCCTTCAAGTGTAATATTTGCGGAAACCGATTCACAACCAAAGGAAACCTCAAAGTGCATTTCCAGCGGCATAAAGACAAGTATCCGAACATTGGCATGAACCCTCATCCTGTGCCAGAGCACCTTGACAACATTCCCACCAGCAGTGGCATTCCGTTTGGCATGTCTGTGCCCATGGACGAGTCAAACATGACTGAAATCAAGCCTATGCTGGGCCATCCTACTGCTGGGTTCCACCCATCATCCATACCAGGCTTCAAGACGACATTTGACAGCTTTGGAGGGGACTCCTTTTCCCAGAGACCCTCCCCAACAACAAGCGATGGCTCTCCGTCTGTTTCCTCTAATATGTTTGGTCAAGAGACAGGACTGGATCCAAATCAGAAGGACGCTAAAGAACTGCTTGGAGCACTGCATCATATGAATGGTAATGCCCTCCCAGCAGAACAAAGCTCTGGAACGGCAAAACTTCAGCAAATGGTGGATGGCCTGGAAAAGAGGACCAATGACCCCAATGAGTGTGTAATCTGCCATAGGGTGCTCAGTTGCCAGAGCTCACTCAAGATGCATTACCGTACACACACCGGCGAGAGGCCCTACAAATGCAAAATCTGTGGCCGTGCATTCTCCACTAAGGGTAACCTCAAGGCTCATTATGGAGTGCACAGGGCTAACACCCCTCTTAAGATGCAGCACTCATGCCCTATCTGCCAGAAGAAGTTCACTAACGCTGTGGTTCTGCAGCAGCACATTCGCATGCACATGGGTGGGCAGATCCCCAACACCCCAATGCCAGAAAACCAGTTTGAAGCAGCAGAAGCAATGGAGCCATCTCTACCAGAGGAGAAGCCCATGGATAATAATGGTTTTGAAACAAGCATGGAGGATCATGAGCCAGAGCTTAACTCACAGAAGCCAAACGAGACCTTAGATTCCCTCCCTCCTGCCTCTGAGGGACAACCAAAGAAGCATGCTGCCCCTGTGGCCTTTTCCAGCCTGGATGTTTTGAAGAACCTCACCTCTGCTCTTGCACTGAAACGACAGAGTAGCACTGCTTCGGAGAGCGAGGGAACATCCAAAGAATCCCCACCAGCTCCTAGAGATCAGGAATATCACAATGGCCGTAGTCCCGCCATTTCTGACTCAGCCACGTCTTTTCATTCATCCTCCCCTGTAAACAACAACCTGAGTAGCGGCAAGTCTCCTGAGTCTGCTGTTGATGAATTTGCCAGTAGTGGGTCAAAACCAGAGTCTGAGAGCGGCACTCAAGATGGCAATGAGTCAAGTGGAGCCCTTGACCTTACAGCTTCCAGCAGCTTCACCCCCAAAGCCATTAAAGAAGAACCTGGTATGCCATTCACAAATGGAGACTATGGTGAGTTTTATTAGTTTTAGAAATGTACTTTAAACAGCGTCATGTTGAATGCATAAATCTAATTCTCCACTCTTTTGTATCAACAGTTCCTAGTAACATGTCTTTCATGAGAATACCATCATGTCTGGCCAGTCTGGAGATGAAGATTCCTCCAGAGAATCCTTTGGGCCCCCATGGTTTGTTCGGCTCCCACATGCCTCAGGGAACAACCGTGCCCTCTTCCATCTCCACCGCACCTCGACGATCAACCAAACAGCACATGTGTAATGTCTGTGGGAAGAACTTCTCATCTGCTAGTGCTTTGCAGATCCACGAGCGAACTCACACGGGGGAGAAGCCTTTTGCCTGCAACATCTGTGGCAGGGCTTTCACCACCAAGGGAAATCTAAAGGTAAGAAACTACTGTGCCTCAAAGTGTTGTATAGGCTGTTTCAGTTTATAAAGTCTGTACTTGAATAATGGAGCTAGTGTTTTGATGGGATTATAATTGACTGGGCGTTTTGTTTTTCAGGTGCACATCGGCACTCACATGTGGAACAACTCATCACGGCGTGGTCAGCGTCTCTCTCTGGATAATCCCATGGCACTGATGGCAATGAGCGCAGAGGCTAAGATGTTGCCAGAAATCATGCAGGCGCCCAAAGAATTGGGTGCTCCACCAATGAACTTTGACCCATCTCTGTGGAACCAGTACGCTGCTGCCTTCAGTGGTGGCCTGACAATGAAGACCAATGAAATTTCTGTCATCCAGGGTGGTGGCATCCCACTCCCTGGTAGCCCTGCCGGTGGGCCTCTTATCGGATCAACCGGAGGCCTCATGAAGATGGATGGGTCCCACTCTGGCTTGCCTGCCACGGTGGCTGAAATTGAGAAGAACAGCTCTGACAGTGTGCCAAAATCACAGTTCCCACATTTCATGGAGGAGGGTAAAATTGCAGTTAACTAGGCTTTTTGGACATCTGCCAGTTTATCACCTGAACTGAGTTTTTGAATGTGTCCTTTTTTGAATGAGGTACAATCAATTTCCAGAGAAAACCTTGTAGAATTCTGCTTAGATTGGATGAATTTTTCCAGTAACTTCATTGCGACTGTCTCTCCTCCTGATCAAGTGTTATTTTTAGTTGAACTTGATATAACTACTGTAGTTGTATTTTATTTTATATAAATATATATGCGGGTATTTTTTTCCTGTGACTTTTTTTTGTTTTGCTGTCTATCCAGAAGTTTGAATGTATAACTTACTTGAAATTGCTTTAATTCAGACTGTCTCCTTGATACTGAAGGATTTTGACTTTAATAGGAAATGTTTTAGGGCATGACACAATGTCTCAGTGTTCAGAAATAATGGCGTAGTTAACCATATGTGTCTATAATGACTACTTTCCCTCCTATTGTGTGCCATAGTTTTTATGACATTGTTCATTTTTTGTTGTGGTAAATGCCATTATCATGTCTCATTTTGAGGGGGCTTTTGATCAGACTGGCAGATTATTCCTGTGTCTTGTCTCTTAAAGCAAGTCACAACAGTTGAGTCATCAGTTTTGGAAAATGCAGATTATAAAATAGGTGTTGCATCTTTGTTGCATTGACGCTAAAATACAATAGTTAATGATTCAAACCTTTTGCCAAGTGCCTAATCTGAACTTTAGTGTTGCTGTTGTCTTTCACTGCACCATTTGGTCGTCATGGAGGCTCTGTTAGACTGGTTAATAGGTGTGTTGTACAGTGTAGCATGGCATGTATTTCATATTTTCAGTTTACAAATGTCAAATTCTCAACCTACATATTCCACTTGTAAATCTGCAGAGTCAAATTTAGTTGGCTGAGCTCTGAATGCTATTATATCAGTAATGTTCTCATGCCTGCACTTTATTTCAGTTTTAGGTAGCTCTACTTTTTATAGTTGCATTTCAGTTTCACTGCTTTTATTGTGATGGCTAAACGGGGAGAGGGCAAATCAACAATTTTGTCAACTTTTCCTTCCTGTCAGATTTTGTTTAAAATATCCATTTAGTGTAACTGTCAGACTTACCAGCTTGTAGCATCATTAATTTATTTATAATACACAAAGTGCTTGAGTTTAGGGGGTAAGTTCTACCTCGTTGTTTAGATTTTTAGTTGTTCTCCGTGCCCCCTACTCTCAATGCAATGCTCTGTATATTTTCCGATACATTCGTGAGCATGCGATAAGATTTTTCACTCTCAACCTGCTGAGTTGAACAGTACTGAATGTATCACTGGACACTTTACACAACTCAGAACGGTCAGAGTACTTTGTAGGCCCCTGCTGTACATTCCTTATCGATATGCATTTGCCAAGTTGTGCCTTTCTTTAGCAAACCATGTCAAAACTGCTTTCAAGTTGTCTCTACAATTCAAGTAATGTTGAGCCAATTTGGCCTGTTTACAATGTAAATGTTTTTTTTTTTTTTTTTTTTTTTTTTTTTTTTCAAATGTTTCCTTCTCCTAAATGTTTTCTGATTTTGAAAAATAAAATCAGGGTGACTTTTTCAATATTTCTCTTGTCATTACTCCAGTGACTACTCAAATGTGTCATACCCTTATGCTAATTTCTCTGCCAGCACAGACTGCTTTCAATGTACACAAAATCCCTAATTACAGGTTACATAACTAGAGTTGACGCAAGACAAGTATTCATTTTCTTTCTACTCACCACCCACCAGTAGCCATTAATCCCTTGCCATTTTACATTCTCAATGAAAAAATATTTGCATCCACAACTGAAGCTTGCTCTCCCAACAGTCCATTTTAAATAAATTATACAGTGGCCTTTTCCTTTCCACGTTTGACATGATATAATACTCATTTGTCACACATCATTGTCATTGCAAGGCAGTCAAACTGGCAGTGGGCATACAGTCAGTGAGCAGAAATACAGAAACACCTGCACTGTAGTGCACCAGCTCAGCAGTCAATCCCACCAATTAGTTTTTCATGAGATAACATGAGTTTTTTGTGTGTTGACTCGATTCAATGGTACATTTAAATGCAATACTTTGTGGTGGTGGTGTTGTATCAGACTATTTAATTCGATTCAGTCATGGACGACATAACACACAGATGTTCCAAAAAATAAAAGATCAAAACATACAAAGACAAATAATATGAATAAAGCAAACCTCAAGGTTTTATGCATAAAGCATGACACAGGATAGAAAAAAGAAAAAGTGGATACTCACTTTCATAGTGGTGACCACTCAAATCGTGATAACAACACAGGCTGCTATATTACAGACTTAGGTCAAAGCTGTGGCATGCAAATTTAATTATTGTGGGTATTTCCCATTATACAAATAGTGCATTTTTGCTACATTGGTGTACATTCACCCATCTCTCCTCTTTCCATTTCCTTTACTGAAAAACCTCACACCTGTTTTTAGAAGCTTATGTAATCGGTTAAGTTTTTCCAAATATTACCCCCGCCCCAACAAGAAGAGGTCAGGTCCAAAAGAACCATAATTTTCGACTATACCTAGTTTTATACTATACCTATGCTGGTCCTCTATTATGTTCAAACACTTGTAAGTAGCCTTTTGCCCAGACCACTTGACTGCATTGTATGAAAGGTGTTTCTAGTAGTTTGTCCACTTCACTTAACATTTACAGAGCACTAAAAATTTAAAATTAAATTGCAATGTATACAGTCCAATACAATACCATTAACTACAGCTGTAAAAGAACATAACATCTCTAACAAAACACAACTGCTGTATCAGATGCTACGTCTTGGTCACTCAGAAGCAGTAGTGCAACATGTACTCAGATCCTTTACTGAAATAAAAGTAGAAATACCGTTAGGTATAAATACTCTGCTACAGTCCACCAATCTTACTTGAGTAATACACACAGTATACAAGGTATACATACAGTACAGTACAGACTACTAGCAAAATCCTCTTAACTGTCTTCTGTGAGTGAGGTTCAAATGATGTGTCATACAGTGAAGCTCTGTGTGTGTAATATACATGAATTTAATGTATTTGTTTTTTTAATTACCCATAGAGAGATAGCCAAGTTTTCTATATAATAATGAAATCAATTTGTATATATGGAATAGCATCTAGCATTTCCTTTTTTACATAACTTTTCATGTCTTGTAACTTATTTAGGTTGTTAGGCCAGACTTTATATATTGTATATTATGTGTTTGTGCTGATATAAGGCTATATAAGTCTGTTTTTAAATGTGATTTTTGGTGTTGCTTGTTCTGTGTTTATTGTTTTATTTGTTTAGCTCTTTTTTTTAGAGTGTTTAATATATCACATTAGTGGATTATTATCATTTATGTGTTAAAATTTAACCAGAACTTTAATGTATTTGGTTTTGATGGAGCTGGTTTTCTACCTTTGCTCATTCATACCTTCTGATTCCTTCTGATTCATACCATTCATACAGAATCATGCGTGGCATGTATTGGTTGATTGACTGACTGATATATATATATATATATAAATACGTGTGTGTGTGTATATATATAATCTCTGCCAGTACATGGACTATGGTGACCTCAAATTCCAACCTATTTTAAGCACAAGGACAGGTCCAATCCACCACAATATCTCAAAACATTTAATCTATACATCATATTCTTGAAAATCAAATAAATAAATGTAGTGGCATAAAAGTAAAAGATTCATACTCCCTTTGAATGTGGAAGTATAAAGCAGCATAAATTAGAAAGTCAAGCGAAGTACAAATACCTCAAAGTGTAGTACTTTAGCAAAACAGCATTGTATAGGATGGCATGTATTTTTGAAAAGCACATGCTTCCTGTTGCTCCTGGTGGCATTTGTAATAGAATTATTATTATTATTATAATTATTCCTATTTAAACTACAACTACCATAATCTGGTGTTAATTTCATGTAATGACACTAGAGAAACAAACTGATGAGAAATATAACTTCCTACTGATAATTGTCCCCCAGGCAATATGATAATTAAGAGTTATTCAGTCAAAATATCATACCATTGTATATATGGGTCAGTGTGTAGTGGGATGTAGGTTAGGTTTGTTTGGCGTGGTGCTGCAGGCTCTCTATCCCAGCAGTGCTAACCTGCTGACTGTTGAACCGTCCTGTTTGAGTGACAGCTGGGAAGCCTCCGCCCAGAACCGCTACAGCCCGTCTGGCTGCCCACAGCTTCTACCGGCTACCAGGGGGCTGCAGGAATGACCGACAATATCCCTCTACAACCCGTGAGACGGCCGAAAAGACACGACAGTAAACACAGAAATGGGTAAGGGCGTTGTACAGTACAGAAATATTAACACGAAGCCATTTGTTAGCGTGTTTCGCTAATGTCAGTGTAGCCGTTAAATTGTTTACAGGAGCGCGTCGACATTGTCTCAAAAACTAGCAAAGCAGTGGCGGATTTTAACGGGAGAAAATAGCAGTTAGCGGGGGGAAACAACAGCTAGCAGATATATACATGCTAATAAAAATGATGTGGCCATTCATTGTAGCTTTAAAACAGCTAGCTTGAGCTGCAGGAGTCATCCTTGTTCCGGGGTGCAGTTGGAACAAGTGCATTTCACGCCCATGTCAATATTTGCTCGGTGGACCGGAGCTCAGTCTCCAGGAACCAGGAAGAAATGTAGGCCCTGACTCTAAAGTCCTGCATCCTAAATGCATATACAGGCTAAATGATACTTTGCAGTGTTATTTTGACAAGCACATAAAAGGGGGAAGGCCTCATAAACGATGATGGAGATGCGCGGACAGGACAGAGACAGTGCTGAAATGAAGCCAATAGACTGATCAGGCTATCATGGTGATGTCATCTCCTGTAATAAACACAGTAGGCAAACAGCTGAAAATTTGCTGTTACAATGCAGAAATATGGGCCTGTGGCTACACACAGCTGGTCAATGTAGGTTTTTGTAGTTAGCTGGATAGCAGTGTGTGAATGAATAGTCCCAAATTTAATTTAATACAAGGTAGTGGTAAACAGAAAAGTCTTTATGCGAGTTTGTTCAAGATACACGGTGCATAAAAAGTACATGCTGCTTCTTCATGTTTAGTTTTGACACTGGGAGCAGTGAGCAGACCTGCCCCAGATGATCTCAGAGTTCAGGGCGGGTCATATTTTAATGGCAATTTTTCACAATTTTTGATATTTGATGGAAATAATACAAGGGTTAGTGCAGTGATCCTTCACTATGTTGGGCTTATACTCTGACACAATTACTTGATTAAACGAGAAACCATTTGTCAGAATAACCAGAAACAGTGGCAGACATTTTTACTTGTCATAGTAGGTCAAGCATGGATGTTAATATCATTAATGATTGCTCTGTGCTGTTCAGCTGTCCCAGTAAGCCGTCACAGTGAGCCAGCATACAGTACCTGGACCCTAAGTCTTCTGCCAAAAACTCCTGTCACTGGTTGCAGCCCAAGTGTACAGTAGGATGCACTATAGGTTAGCTGTGTCTTTGAGAGACTCTTAGGGTTTAAAGAGAGCAACATGGAGATTAGCTTACTCATGATAGCAGAGGCCAAGAGTGGTTTTACAATGACGGAGCTCATTCCTGTCTTTGTTATAAGAATATCTCCTCATATATAGGCTGGGTTTAACCATATGTTTGGTTTCTTCCTGAATATGAGCTATCCGGGAACCCCAGGTCTAGCATATAAAAGGGAATAGGAAACTTGTGTCTTCTGTCCCATGAATGCACTGCAGGGTTATCACAAAGTAAACTCTAAAAATGAACTGCTGCAGAAATAGTTGTCAGACCTGGCAGACAGACTTTGAACAGTGAATATTGTTATGACATTAGAAATCTGAGTCATCTCTCATACGAATATTGCGTCTATACCTCCCTTTTCCCGAATTAAATCACTTTGTCTGTAGCCGATAGAGACTGTATATTTGTCACGCCTGCATTTTGTTCACGTCAGTGTTTTATAACCTACAAAGTGAGTTGTTAATAGCGAAGTCACTGGGCTCTTGTTTGATTGATATGGAATGTTTTGTTTTGGTGGAGTGAAGGGAGTGGCCACCCTTTTCCAGACAGAGTTAAAAATTTATTTTGTGAGGCATAATCTCTCTTGACTCGATGATCATGGACCTTTAGCTCAGCCTTGTCTGATGTGTGAGTTTTGTAGCTACAATAAGCAACACATTAACAAAGAGACGTGAGTCGAAATTCATTAAAAATGAAAAAGCTGTCCCAACAGCTTCACACAATACAACACAGGGTTATAAGTCAAACTACAGAATGTATTTTATGTTGAAATAGCCTAAATTAATCCATGTCATTTTTTTAAATTTACAGATTACATGTGAATTTCTTTAACCCTCCCTGCCTTTTCCTCTCAGGTGCTGCCCGTGGTCGACATGCTGTGGCATGGGCGACTTCCGTCCCCGCACCGTGTGGCTTGGCCACCCAGAAAAGAGGGAGCAGAGGTACCCCAGGAATGTCATTAACAACCAGAAGTACAACTTCTTCACCTTCCTGCCCGCGGTTAGTGTCAGCCAAAGGTCACTCCTTTGCTTTCCCTCCTTCTTAATCCCCAAAAACCACCACCCACCTTTTTGAGCCTGTCCCTGGGTGAGTGTCATCTTGTAGGGCGCATATTCAGAGATATAACTCCTCATTGTTACTTATAATGTGGGTTGGTCAGGGCACTCGTTTTGAATCATTATTGATCAGAGGATCAGATTATGGCTTCAACTAATCATTATTTCAATTATTGACTTATCTGACTTTTGTTTTCTTAATCAATCAAATAATCTTTTAGTCATTAAATGGTCAGAAAAATGCTCATTAGAGCTTCCTTGAGCTCAAAAATAGTCTATAAACCATTTTGTCCAGACAACCGTTCAGAACTCAAAGATGTTCCGTTTAAAATAAAAGAAAGAAAGAAAGAAAGAAAGAAAGAAAGAAAGAAAGAAAGAAAGAAAGAAAGAAAATACTCACATAAAAGAAACTGGTACCAGCAGGTGCTCTGCATTTTTGTTTGAAAAGTGACCCAAAAAATGACTCAATTATCAAAATCGTTGTTCTACTTTCTGTCAGTCGATTGATCGACTAATCGTTTCACTAGATCAGATCCGTACCTAAAGTGTGAATATTACACATGTGTCTTACATCTCTTCAGTTTCATTTAAAGAATTTTAGAGAATACCATAGTATTGTTAGTTTATAGTCAGCCTAATCCCAAGTGACTACATATTTGCATACCCCTTGATGCCAAGACACACAGACACTGGTGAAATTTTTCCTGATATGACTAATGCCAGAGGGCATTTTCTGACAGATACAGTTTACACTGTCAAAGGAATGTACAGGCCTAACGAGGCTTGGTTTGTACTTTCTTTAGTCCAAATGGCACCATCATAAGAAGATTAGTCGTCTTTTTTTAAATAATGAAATGTCTCATGTTCAAATAAATATCTTTATATAATGTTAAGAGAAACATGATAAGTAGTTTCACCCACATTTGGACAAACAGTTACACAATCTCACAGCACCAGATCTTCATTTTCACATTCAGTTTCTTAGATGAGTACAGAAGTGACAGATATGACATTGGTTGGAGATTTCTTACGTGGACGGCAGTTTCTAAGCTGTGTGTTTTTGACTTTGTTCATTCTCATGGCCGGATTTACATATTCATTTGTTTTCCAGACATTCAGTTGTCTTAAGATCTTTATTTTTGTATATGAAGGCGGACATTGAAAGTAGCTCAGATTTGTTTGGAAAGCAAAAGACAAGAGCAAAGCCTTTTTGCATTGCAAATTGTGTTGCTTATTATTTAATTTGGTTCTTGTCAAGAAGGTCTTCTGACTAGGACATATTGTATGTTCCTGTGCATGGTTTCTCCTGTACTGCTTCACTCGCAGCAGTTTTGGAAATTACATACAGTAACTATGTGAAGACAGAAGCTTTCCCTTGGTTGTAATCTTGCACACTGGTGGTAATGAAATTGAGCAAAGTTGTAGAATGTGTGTTAAATTTAATTTAACTGTGTGTGTTTACATATTGCTCCATAGTGAAAAGACTCATCGGCTAAACCTGGGCTATATTTGGTTGAAATTTAGTTTTTTAATTTAAATTTTTTTAGTGCGAGTAAGTGATATGTTGATATATACCAGAGAATTATCTGAATTTGTGGTATTACATATTGTAGTAGTTATCCCTTTTCATATGTCTGGGTGTATAAGGCCAGTGTAGACAATTAGGTAAATGACTGTGGGCAATGGTATGATTTGCATCCATCACAGAGGAAGTTTTTTTAATATGTCTAGTTTTTAATTCAGTGGATTTTATTCACTTACTGATTCATTTCATTCATATACTGTTTACTGATTTAATGTATTATGACTACGACTGCCACTAAAGATTATTTTGCTGATTATTTTTTCAGTTTATTGTTTAACCGTTTGGTTCATAAAATTCTATAAAACGGCAACAACCAGTGAATTTTTGAATTTTATGCTTAACAATAATTAATGGATTATTGAACTAGTAAAGCTGAAATTTAATGTTCTGCCATCAGACTAATTGCTTCAGCTCTAATTATGATATATAGCTCTATTAGGATATAAAATTATATATACTGTGATAGAGGATGTAATCCATATCATATCCATATTGAAAACACCATTCAAACATTCACAGTGTAGCTGGAAACAGTATTCGAACACCTTGGCTTTAACAGAAGCTAACTGGAGTCAGGAGTTATCAATATCAAAAACATCTCAGAAGACTTAGGATCAAGAATTGTTGACTTGCATAAAGCTAAAAGGGTTATAAAGTTATCTGAAAGAGGTCCGATATCCATCAGTCCACAGTCAGACAAGCTATATCTATTAATGGAGACAGTTTAGTTCTGTGGCTACTCTCCCTAGAAGTGGGCGTCCAGCTAAGATGACTCCAAAAGCACAAAGCAGAATGATTTGAGGTAACAAAAAACTTCAGAGTAACAGCTAAACGCTATAAAGGAATTATTGGAGCTGGTTAAAATCTCTGTCATCATCTCATCTCTACCATACACAGATAATGGAGCATGGTGTCCTACCATGGACACCACGGAAGAAGCAACTCCTCAACACAACACGCAGCATGCTCACATGTTTTGTGGACTGATAAAACTATGGTTGGACTATTTGGGAAGAACATGTAGTGATATGTACGGTGTAAAGAGAGCACAGCATACAAACATGAAACCATCATCCCAAAGGTGAAGCACAGTAGAGGGAGCATCATAATTTGGGGCAAACACTTATTAAATCCAAGAGTTTGCTTTCTTTTTCCACCAGCACCGTGAATGTTTAATAGGTGTGTTCAGTAAAGACATGGGAGATTTAAATTTTAATTTAAGTTTGATATGATCTTAAGAACATTCAGTTTGTCTGGACTTGTGACTTAGATGAAAATCAGATGACATTTTATGACCAGTTAATGCAGAAAACAGGTCATTCCAGAGGGTTCGCATACTGTTTGTTTCTGCTGTATGTTTGCTGGGCCACTTGGTCACATACGAAATGTTGAGATCGTGTTGAAACAAATGTTTTATTTATGCCTGAAGTCATTTCTATAGAAGATTACACGACTCTGCACCCACAGGTCACGAAAACAGTGTTGTAAGAAGTCACATGGAGACCAATGATGTCAAATACATATTCTATTAAATAATCAGCCATCAGTCCTGGCTTTAATAAATAATGTGTAACAGTAAATGTCAGATAGAGTCATATGCATAATAACTAGCCACACAGCAGATATTTCACTCTATACTTGTTTGTTTTCTGTTCACAGGTGCTGTTCAATCAGTTCAAGTACTTCTTCAACTTGTACTTTTTGCTTCTGGCCTGCTCTCAATTTGTCAAGGAGCTACGCTTAGGTGCCCTCTACACCTACTGGGTGCCTTTGGTATGTGACACCCCCCCTTCACAACTGTTAATTATCATGGTCTATCAATTGCAATTTCCATACTAATATTATGCTCAGTGCAAATTGAAATTGAGGTATTTCACACAAAACAGTTTTTTCAGTGTTTTGTATGTTGGAGAAAAAGAGTTTTTAATGGATGACTTGTCACTCTCCAGGGTCTTGTTTTGATTATCACCATCATGAGAGAGGCAGTGGAAGAGATAAGATGCTACCTTCGAGACAAAGAAGTGAACTCTCAGATATACAGCAAGCTTTCAACACGAGGTGAGGCTTGTAAATATGGACAGCACTGGTTATGTTTTGCCTGTGTTGATATCTGAACCACGTTGCTTATTTCTCAGCATCAGTGTCTATTAACTGTAGGAGGTTGGTCCTATTAAAACTTATTGGGGCTAGGGGAAATGGTAGGTAATTCAAAGCAGAGATGTAAAAGTGTACATAAGAGGCCTTGGTATAAAGTGCTACCAGCAATAAAAAGCAGGAGACCTCTTGTGGTTTCCATCACTTTGTCCCTTTGATGTGGCAGCTTGTTTTACCCATAAACACAAGGGCTGGTTGCCTCCATGATAGCGGCCCCTGTGCATATCTTAAGGTTTACAGAAAGTATATGGTGAAGAAGTCAAAGCCTCTCATCTCTTCATCTTTTTTAGATTCATTTATTTATGAAAGCTGAACGCTGCGATGTTCTATGTGTTTTTATTTGTCAATCTTTCTTTTGTAAAGAAATGTGTCAAACTTTATTGCACTAGTAGAGCAGAGCCCCATGAACCCTAATGCATAGCAATATTAATGTGCTTTAATGTCTTACATATGCAAAGCCCAGAGGTCACGGCAAAGGTCAGGGGTCAGTGATCTCTTCCAAACAATTTTGCCCGTTCATTCCAACTGGAATGAGAGAAAAGGCTCAACTCCCCCAGCATTCTTTCAGATCTGCACAGAAAATTACTTTCCTAAATTCACTGGGGTGATTGTTGAGGCACGCACAACAAAAGTTCACCAAGAGAAGACGTTCATAGTTATATTTGATTTAAAAAAACAAAACATGTTTTGAAATGTATTTATAGGAGAATGTGTGTAGATCTGAGAAATCAGCTCCAATGTTGTAAAGTCTATGTTTAAATGGATGGTCCGCATGATTTTAACCATATTTAATCCACATGTACAAACTTACTTAACACTTCATTAACTTTAACTTTGTTGTGTTTTTCAGGCACAGTGAAGGTTAAAAGCAGTGGCATTCAAGTGGGAGATCTGATAATCGTGGAGAAGGTTTGTTGAAGATTGATCCACATCTGTGAATAGTTTTGCGTTTTTAAGACTGTCAAGTTACCATTTATATGAGAGCGAGTAATGAGGGGGCTGTTAATCTTCTGTGCTCCGGTGGTGACTGAGGTGAAAGGAGTTAGTAAAGATTTTGTAATCTTGTGATCAATGCTGAGCTTCAACCTGTCAAACTCAATGCACACACAGCAGACATGAGCCTAAAATGCTTTTAATTAGATCTTAGACACAAATTCAATTAAGTACTATTTATTGATATAATTTTTTTTTCATTTTGAAGTCACATTTATAGTTTGTTGTTGTTTGAGTTATTTTGAGTTTGCAGGGGAATCTGTTGTGTTGCTCTGAGTGGATTCTCTGAGGTCTTTGTACATGAAACATGAGAAGCGAGTCCTGTCTTCAGTTTCCAACTCAGGGCTTCTCTCTGAATCACTCATTTCAACGCAGCTGAAGGAAAGGTCACACATGTTGTTCTACACATTTCACTAATATGACTGAGTGACTCAGAGTTATGTGGGTGACAATTCAGAGAGACACTTAAACAGAAGTGAAACCAGTAGCTGACAAAAGAAAAGCTTTGGAATTTTCTTTTTAATTAACCTGCATCTAAAAAGCCATAATACATCTTTATTACTATCGACCACTTAGCAATAATCCATGCACAGCTCTGGGACTTTGTCTAGTGCAGTGAAGGGACCAGGTCAGGCAGAGTGTAAAACCTGGTCAGGGTCCCGTTCAGGCCACGACAGGATGATTTGTGCTGCAGGGGCTTATTATTTTGACTGACTGGCTGCTGGTAATGTGGCACATGAAAAGCAAAAAAAAAAAATAGTCTTAACTTTTCTACAGTTAAAGAGCGGAGAGAGGAGGGAGTAGGAAAAAGTGCAGGATCAGGAACTGATGTTGAAGTCATGTTTTTCTTTCTGCCTTTCTTTGTAGAACCAGCGTGTTCCTGCTGACATGATCTTTTTAAGGACCTCTGAAAGAAATGGTAAACATCTGCTGGTCATTCATCCAGATCTCCACTACAGACTGGCTGCCTGGCCTGGTTGACTGGGGAAATGACTTGTTTAAAAAGGCGCTGAGGTGCAGGGATTAGCCCTGAGCCAGGACAGGAAGTCCTACAATGTCTAAATTGTAATTGGGTCCAGTACTAAACTATCACTCAAAGTGCTTTGTGGTGGAGAATTGCTCCTTCATGTACTGGTGAGATGGGTATTGCAGACACAACATTGTTCTCTCTTAATCTTTGTCTATGACTAATTTTGTCTTTCAAATGAGAAGATAATGAAAAGGAAAATCAAGGCACACAAAAATCAAATGCAAAAAGAAAACAGGAGACACGAGAGGAGGCGGCCTCATCTGAATAATCAAATATGGATTACGACAAGATTTGTTAGAGATAACAACAACTTGGTGGATTGCGTTGCATTGTTTATTTGCAAATATACAAAATACACACAAGTTAATTCAAAATAAGCACCTCAAAAATCTCATCACAGGGAGATGTTTTTATTTTCAGCCTTCAGAAGACCAAATGTGACTGTGTAAGAGAAGCTAGATGCATGTTTTTCTTGCGTCTTCCTGTTGGGGGAAGAAAAACAACAGCTTTGTTTTACTGGAAATAGTGCTCGGTTATCTTTCTTCCATGTGGAGGCCATTAGGTCAATTATGAAGAGCCTAGGCCAGGATTGGGAGTGAGGGCAGGATGACGCATGCAGGCCAACGGGGCGGGGGGATGGGCTTGGGTGAATACCTCCACTTCTACCTTAGCTTGATCCCAAAAGTAATAAACAGCTCAGTCTCATTCTCAGAAGTTCCTACTCATTAGTGACTCCAGGCTAAAATTGTTTCATAGCCTCTTTTCAGGTAAACTGGGGACCTGGGAAATGAATGTGTATTAGAATAAATAAAATCATGAACCAGAAACAGTAGCCTTCAGTATGTATTGAAACGTAAATGTATACATTCACTTCCATTATCCAGAATAAAGATTCTGAGGTTTCTTGTTTAACTAACAGCCTGCTGTGGCCCTCTAGGGGTAAGTGTGTTTCCATCTGGCATCAGTGGCAGCTCTTGTCCCTCTCCTTTCCAGGATCCTGCTTCCTGCGGACTGACCAGCTGGACGGAGAGACGGACTGGAAACTACGCCTCCCAGTGGCCTGCACACAGAGGCTGCCAACTGCTGCCGTGAGTCTTGAAATAAAGATGGTGAGGTAGAAAGGATGCAGGAGAAAACTGGATGTTGCGACACTGCGCTTATGACATTTTTGTGCAATAATATTACTTCAGGAGAAATTGCACATGTTAACTGTGGTTAAATAACTACTCACTCCTAATGAAAGACTTGCTCCTCTTAGACCAGAGTGTAGGATGGCCTGGTCATTAGAGAGTGTCATGATTAAAAGGTCAAAGGCTCACCTCAGGCCTGTACTGTTAGAAGAGTTAGTCACTGTTTGACCACTTGAGGGTTTTAGAGGCAAATATTCATGATGTTGTTTAGACTCAATTTGTCTGTTTTGTCATTTTCAGCACAGTATAATTCAGTGTTATAAAGATAAAATAGTGCTATTCTATTTATTTATTTTCAATCTTAACTTAATTTGGCACCAACTCCACAACTCTACACTGAACCCAGACTATTGACAACTTAGTGAGGGGTAAGTAGTCTGGGCCGAAGAATTAATTCACAATAATCGAGCAGGTAAATGAATAAATAAAAAGGGTAATATTGGCTCTTTTTGGCAAACTGATATATTAGTTTTGGGCTCAAAGGATGAGTTGATTAATCAGAAAGTCCATTGACAGAACATTAGTTGCCAACCAAGTAAATTTTTAAATAAATGTGCCAAAAATAATTGATTCTGATTCTGAATATTTGCTGTTTTTTTATTGAACATAAACAGTATGAGCCTCTCGGTTCACAAGATAGTAACAATAAAATAACCGCCATATTTGTCAAACAAGTCCAGGAATACTTATTTTTTGAAAGTCTCAGTTTGTCTACTAATTAAGCCTCGAGCAAAGGTTCTGTAAAATGCAAAACCATCAAGCAAACAGCGCTGCACAAACTGTACATGATCATTTAAATGAATCTGGTGTCCCTGTGAAGAAAATGTTATATGACAGTTCTGACAGTATTTTTCACGCTTAATGAGTAAGTTAGGCAAAGCTGTGCTTGTTCTTGTCTTCTTCTCTGTCATTAATAATTATTAAAGTGTCACTGATCCTAAACTGTGTTTCTGATGTCTCACAGGACCTTCTCCAAATCAGATCATACGTGTACGCGGAAGAGCCAAACATTGATATCCATAACTTTATTGGAACTTTTACCAGGGTGAGTGCTTACATTACTGTTCTTCTCAACCATATGCCCCTTACACACATGTTGATCTGATGACATGTCTGAATGTGCCCCAGTTAATTTTACTTTCAAGTCATGACAGCAATCCTGCTAGGTCTGAGCTCATAACATTTTCTTTAGCAAATAGGGATAAAATGAGAGTCCCAACTTAATGTTCTGTGTGCTTGTGCATGCTGGATCCTTTACAACACGCAGCATGCTCACATTGGTCATTAATCAAGGCTTCAGCAGCAAACTGACTTTAAGAATCCATTAGTGATGCAGCCTATGACAGAACAGAAAACAGTCTTCTTCTTCCTAATCATCATTTTTTCCTCCACCATTCTCTCTCTCTCATCTCCCTCTCGTGCATCAGATGCCAAATATCGCATGGCATTGAGGCTCATTCTGTAAATGTGCTCTCATGTCTGGATAAAGCCATAAAGATTAGAATTATTAAACATCAGCGAACAAGATATTTACGTCTGAACGAATAAACGTCAGTACGTCTGTGTGTGAAAATGGCTCTAGTGTAATTTGAACACTACATTCTGTTTACAAAACCTCTGTTTAACAAAGGTAGCATTTATTTGACCAGTTTCTGTCTTCGCTCTTCATCCTCTATATTTGCATATTGTGTCAACTGTTACAGGAAGATGGAGACCCCCCTGTCAACGAAAGTCTCAGCATTGAAAACACCCTGTGGGCCAGCACAGTTGTCGCCTCTGGTAAATATCTGACTGGTGGACTGGTGGATACCCAGGAAGTAACGAGGACCAGCCTTCGCTCTTAGCCGTGCAGAGCTGCTATGAGGCGTTGCTTCCTCTACAACTATTGAGCTAATGACTTAACTAAACAAACAGAAGGAAGTCAGACATTTTTGCTTATTTATAAATAGTTCCTCAGCTAACTATAATCAGAATCAGAATAAGACAGAATCCACTAACTCATGCTAACACATGTTATCTGTTAAGCAATTGCAAATCTGCATCCTATATTCCAAATGACATTCTTCATTTGAAAATGTCTATACATGCCAAGATTATAAGTCTGGGAAACATCTTCTTGACATATTATGTTTTATGTTGTTCCTTTATTATATTGGCCTGAGGCGGATTTTCTCTCCCTCTCTCCAGGCACAGTGGTGGGGGTTGTGATTTACACAGGCAAGGAGCTGCGCAGTGTCATGAACACCTCCAACCCAAGGCACAAGGTACAGTAGTGTGAAGCAGAGCCTTAAGACATTAGGTCATTTAGTTTGCACAAAGATGTATTTATTTGGCAGATTTTCACAGATATATAAAATGTATCCATAATAGATTAATTGTGTGATTTATTTAACATTTAATTAATTCATTTATTTTTACCTAGATTTAAATATTGTACATATACAGTCCATTTCTGTTTCATTTGCATAATGCTTGTCTCTGTTGTACCTGATAGGTGGGTTTGTTTGACTTGGAAGTGAACTGTTTGACTAAGATCCTGTTTGGGGCACTGGTGGTGGTGTCACTGGTCATGGTGGCCCTCCAGCACTTTGCCGGACGCTGGTACCTCCAGATCTTTCGCTTCCTGCTGCTCTTCTCTCACATTGTGCCCATTAGGTAAAGTTTCAAAGTCATCTGCAGTGTTGTATTTTATTCATGTGTGAGGAGATAAAGAGCACTCATTTATTTATTTATTTATTTATTTTTGGATACAGTTTGCGTGTCAATCTGGATATGGGAAAGATGGTTTTCAGTTGGATGATTAAGAAAGACTCCAAGATCCCCGGGACGGTGGTGAGGGCTAGCACCATACCTGAGCAGCTTGGACGCATCTCCTACCTGCTGACTGACAAAACAGGTTAGAACAGCAGCATAGTTTTAAGGTAGCCTTGGTTGTGTGGCCAAAATAGTGTGTAGTGCTAAAATGAGAGGTTATAGTGCTGAGGATTTGCCAAGGAAGTATCCAGTTGGACAGACTTAAGTCGTTTCCTTCCCTGGGGGGTTTTGCTCTGTGGTGGGGTTTCTGCTCCCAGCGACCTGCTACTTATTGGACCCTTAAATCATAAAAAAAAGCCTAGAGTCTCTCATCCATACACACCTTCAGAGCACAACACCTCCACCAGTGCACTTCCTTAGGCGCGAGGTGTTGCACGTCAGATTTACAGCCCTCATGCCCAATAAAATGATCAGCCGTTTCCCCATCCAGAGTGTGATAAGGCTGAGGTGGGGGGGTCTGCAGGTCAGGCTAATGTACATGAGAGGCCCCTGAGGTCTTTTCTGATATACTAGCGGAAAATGCTTTTAAAGTGAGTGTGAGGATACAGAGGTTGTGTGTAGTGTCAAACAGAAAGCTTCTGGCTCTCTTACCATTTATTTACAATTACAACATGTGACATGCAAACTCTGTTTTAAGTAACTGATTAATGACTGTAAAACCCAACCAGTGTGAACAGTGGAGAAATGCTTTTATACATACTGACGCTAGAAGTGTTAGTTTCCAAAATGATACTTAACAACCAAATCTAAAACACACATTTCATATTTTGTGCTGTAAAATATTATGCAAAAATGTAGGACTTATTAACTGTTTCAAGTCTATTATTGTAGAGGAATTTCAGAGTTTAAATGCCTGTAATGTAATCTTTACCAGGGACTCTTACCCAAAATGAAATGGTGTTCCGACGGCTCCATCTTGGAACTGTGGCGTATGGGATGGACTCAATGGATGAAGTACAAAGCCATGTGTTCAGCGCCTACACACAGGTAAAAAAAAAAAAAGAAGAAAAAAAGCGTTCTGTGTCAGTCAAAGAGAAGAAATGAACAATTAGAAAACAAACAGAAAAGAAAAGATCAAAATTCCAACAGCTTGGGAAAGGGTAAAACAAACAGACGTGAACATTGTTTTAAGAAACATATCAGTTTGTGATTATTGTTTGGTTGAATGCTTCCTGACCTCAGATGACACTCTTTGTCCCCCTTGACACCAGAGGTTAGTGAAGCAGGAAACAGGATTAGCCCACAAGCGAAGCACTGACCGGACTTCTTTAATGACGCCACCATTAACCCCTGGAACGCACAGCTGTCTAAAAATAGCAAGGCCACAATGCAAAAGCAAATTGTTCATATTTTCTTTACACATCTGGTTATAGTTATCACAGCAACGATTGAAGCTGGGTTGGTTAAGCAACTAGTTTCTCTGACTTAAACCTACACGTGTCCAGTTAGTAGTCTCTCTTTTCCAATTACCTTTGTGTATTGTTGTATATAGGAGTTAAAGTGTTCACACAGCTTCTTTGAGATTTTCACTCACTCATACAGCTTCTTTCTTTTTGGACAGTCCAGATTATAAGTTCTCTTCGCTACAATAGTTTACAAAAACTTTGACCACAATGAAAGACTACAATTAGAGGAGAGTGTTATGACTCTGTTCAGGTTCCTCTATGCCCTTCTGTTTGATCACAGTACCTTCTGTAATTTTCTTCAGCCCACCCATGACCTTCCAGCCTCCAGGGCTCCGGCAGCCACTAAGGTCCGCAAGACCATCAGTAGTAGAGTTCATGAGGCTGTGAAGGCCATTGCCCTGGTGCACAACGTGACACCCGTATATGAGTCCAATGGGGTGACAGACCAGGCCGAGGCTGAGCAGCATTATGAAGACACGTGCAGAGTCTACCAGGCTTCCAGCCCAGATGAGGTATGATGGCCCACCACACAACCATTTCACAGTACTTCAGTTTTGTTATTGACACTGATGATGATTTATTAAGAGAATAAAAAAGATTACATGCTTCTTTATAAATTCTGCTTGTCAAAACCTACAGGGCATGTGCTGAAAATTGTATTTTTTTCTTAATAATCTTGAGTTCTTGAATTCAAACGAAATACTACTCAGACACAACTCATTTTAAATCCTAATATGTTTCATAAAGACCCTCAATGATTTAAAGTTCCTGTCCAGATCAAAATGTTTTTCTTTATGTTTCTTTGTTTGACTTGGACTGTGGAGAATGATTTATGTTTGACATTAAGTTTTTCTGTGCTCAGAGTTTAAGACATGTATATACAAGCATTATAAGATATCTTGGTCCACTATGCAACTTAAGCAAATGTGATGTGGAAACTTGAAGCTTCCAGTGCACAAATATAAAAAAGCACTTATTTTGTAGAGACCGCTTGTGTCCAGTTGAAAAACTGTATTTTTTTTTTTAAGTGGATGGATTAGTAGACATCATTTTAAGATTTTTTTTTAACAAGGTAATTGAGCTTATTATTCATAGGACAGTGTTTTTATAGGTCTTAAAACATATCTGGAGGGCACCTTTAACATTTTATTATTTGTCATCTAATTTCAAAGAATTCGTTCTTGTTCTAGATGTTTCAAATATCTAATTATTTGTTTGTTTGTTTATTGGACTGAGAAAATGTGCTCTGTGTTACTAAATATGACAGCAGGAGGACTATGACTTCGAGAAAGTCATCATACGGTTGGTAGAGAGCATAACACATGGTAATTGAATGGTCATAAAATGAGTTAATAATAATAATAATAAGAGGAAGAAGAAGAAATGATTTATATTCTGGTAAAAGCTTTCATACAAGAAATGCAGCTCAAACATCTTTACAAAACAAAAAACAAAAAAGGAAATAGCAAATATGGGTCATAAAGGGCTCACTAGATTTTTTAAATTTGTAATATTTTAAAGCAACAAAAAAATAATTTCTCTGCTTTTTTTCTTTTTTCTGTCTGTGTGGAAACGTAGACTTGGATGTTTCCCCACATTTATTATATAAACAGCTACAATACGATACATGTAAACAAACACACACACAGGCAAATACCTTTACGTTGATATATTTATAACCTGACCTGTTGGGAAATGTACACTTCATCTACTTATGGCCAAATAGGGGAGGGCTGACAGGAGAACAGACTTCTGATCTCAAGATGGAGAGCTCTTGGTTTTTGTCAGTTAAGGCCTTTATCTTGAGTGTCTTCACTGCTTTCCTCCTTCAAGGGGAACATTCAAAAAGCCAAATGGCGTTTCACATTTATGTCCTTGATCAGTATGAATTCTTTGAACATCAGGAAGAGGGCTGCGGAATTCGACTCGATCCATTTCCTGCTGTGTAAATACGGATTTCCTTAATGTGCTCCCCAGCCCATTGCACTTATCCCCTTTTAAATTTTCTCCTTGATAGCATACTTTAATAGAGCCCTGCATATCTGCTGTGATTAAAGAACTGTGGTTTGTATTGTTCTTAGAGAATGCAGCTGTTTTATTGTGTAGTGTCACATTGGAAAACAATTGAAACTGTTTTGTCTGAGCTGCTAAGCCCTGAAAGGTGAACTGTATCAGTTTGATACAATCAGATTCAGTTTGTTTTCCTACAGCTCTCAGGAAGTCTTAACATAGATCTGGTTTTGGCTGTGAGCACTACAGACACAATGTCAGTGACTGTTGAATACATGGTTTTTACCACTGCAGATAAATAGATATCCACATGCAAATGAAAACAAGATTATTTACTTAGCAGAATCATCTTATTCATATGTAAGTGTAATCAATAGAATGACTTATATTCTGTGTGATTCACAGATGAGAGCTGATATCTGAATCACTTTGCTTTTCAGCTCTTAAAAAAACTTGTCAACTTTGTGGTTGTTCTGAGTCAAACCAGCTGGACGCAGCATTATTCAGTCCAGCTAGAAAATCAACAGCAAAGCCAGATGCTGCCGTTACAAGGTGGTGCTGCTGCTGTGGCAAACACCAGATCCACGAATGCCTCCACAGTGAATATTTCTAGACTGTGACTAAGCACAATCTTCATATTTCCCAACCTGGATGACAAAAATTACGGTAGTCTGCGCTTTTCTGACGTTAACGTGCTCCTGGCCAGGCATTGTCAGACTACGTGGTCATGTTATTTCCAAAATAAGTAATTTTGGGAACCACAAAAATCTGCGGTTTTAAAATCGAGTCTGAACATGGTGATCTTTGTTGGTTTCTCTCATCTGTGTCCATTTGGCCACTCTGCTATTAGTGCTGTCAGAAGATGGATGATGAATTGGGTATGTGATCTGGACTCTGGTCTGGAAGTTATTGGGCAATGTCATCTCCCCTCTTTTTCTAAACCCCCCCCCCACACACACACACACACACACACACACACACACCCACACACACACCCACCCACACACACACACACACACACACACACACACACACACACACACATTACCATTGTATTAATGGATGTCATCTGTTATGTCCTTCAGAAAGAATCAAACGTAAACAATATTTTCAGTTCAATGGACATGTCCCTAGTTTATCAATCAATAGTCTTGAGTGCTGAAAATGCTTGAGCTATTGATTACAGCTAAATGGTTACTGTGCTCTCTGACAGGCTTCTCTCTCCAAAGTGTCCTCTGCTCTTTTCTTTGTAATCCAAGTAATGGAACATCATATTGACATAATGGCTTTACCATGAGAATAATAAAAAAGCCTCAAGCAGTGGTCACTTCTCTGTCTTGCTGTGTGATGACAATATTTTATTATTTAAAAAAAACATAAAATATTATCTACTTGATAAATATTGCATCTTTTTCTCCTCTCTATTCAGTGGTGTATTTTAACGACCACCCACTACAGTCTTTACAATGTGGTGTTGATAGGTGTCGCTGGTGCAGTGGACTGAGAGTGTTGGACTGACACTGGTGGGAAGAGACCAGTCCTCCATGCAGCTGCGGACCCCTACTGGCCAAATTCTGAACTTCACCATCCTGCAGATATTCCCCTTCACCTATGAGAGCAAGAGAATGGGCATCATAGTGCGAGTGAGTGCCAGTTATGAATTAATATTTTCTGTCTGCAGAAGCTGTTGTGCATTTTGCTTCATTATGTTCTTCAAAGGAAATGTATTGATTTTAAAAATGACCGTCTGTGGGTGAGTGGTTGTTGCTAGGACACTGATTGTTACTTGACACTGGCTTTCACGAGAAACACAATATAAAAACAACATTCATATTATAGCACGTTTTCTGAGGAAAAACCTTATAACGACCTGTGACTAAGTCTGATGACTAACTTTATTTTTGTTGGCTGGGCTATAGCTCAGGAAGCCTGGGATTCTGAAGCTGGACTTCCTCGTGATAACATTTTCAAACACTTTGTGAAACCCTTTGTGAATACCAAAATAAGTTACATATTTCTAGGCAACACAGAATCATAAAATAGTGCAGGTTCACATTGGCTCATGTGGGAACTGAACTGTGAGTGAGGCAGGCTTGTGTATTTCATCTTCAGGTGTTTATATACTGTCATGTTTTCTAGGATGAATCAACAGGAGAAATCACTTTCTACATGAAGGGTGCTGATGTGGTTATGGCAGGCATTGTCCAGTATAACGACTGGCTGGAAGAGGAGGTAGATTTCCCTCTTTTTCACAAAACATTATGTAATGACAATGATTTTATTCCTGTTATAAAAAACTCGCAGACAAATATGTTTTATAACCTGCTGAATCCGAATGTTTATGTCTCTGTTTTGTAGTGCGGAAACATGGCAAGGGAGGGTCTGAGGGTCCTTGTGGTCTCCAAGAAGTCCCTGACAGAGGAGCAGTATCAAGATTTTGAGGTAAGTGCTTTCTCATGATGAACCTACAGTGATCTGAAGTTGTGCTGAGGGACTGAGCTTCATTAGCAATGTTACACGTTCACTGTCTTTCTCTTTGGCTTGTAAACCACACAAATATCCAACATGTGCTACACGTCTATTATGCTCAAATTACACCCAAAGTCTGTTGACTGTCAAACAAAAAAAATGCAGACTGATATTCTACGGAGACATGTCCTGTATTTCCAAATGTCAAAGTGTGTTCTCGGGTTATTGGGCTAACCTCTGACCTCCCCCTCCCCTCCTCTAGCCTGTACACCCCACCTTCCCACGCACACACCAAGCCCCCACTCATTGTTTGAGCAGGGCAGGGCTGTCTCCCCCTGCGTTTTCAGCCCCAGGCCCATTGCTGAAGTGTATAATTGTGTGAGCAGAGCTGGTGGGCAGCAGTGAGTCACCAACTGAGTCACACACAGAGTTTGTGTTCCTGTATGACTCACACTCAGATTATTTTTGCTTTATCTCACTCACAAATTGCCATGGAGCTGGAGCACTGAAGATGGGCGTTAACCCATTGATCATGTCTCCTATGTGTATCTATCTTTTTAAATCACAGCTGCTTTCAGGGCTGCTTGCAGGAAAATACTGAAGTTTATACTTTACACTGAAACTTAAATATCTTATATGGAAGTTTCAGTGTGTGTTGAATGTTGTATTCATAATGCACACAGTTTAATCCCTTTGTATGTTGCAATATTCTGCTAATGAATGCACATTGTGTATACATTGTGTTGCTGCTTTTTAAGTATTTCTGCCTATGACTGTCATGTCTTCGGTTATACTGATATTTCTCCTCCTATTCCTGGCTGTTTCTCATCTTTGGTCCTGCAATGATTCTACCTTATTTATGCTTATTTCATCTCTCCCCACCAATCACTCCCCTGCTCCTCAGGCACGGTATGTCCAGGCCAAGCTCAGCGTCCATGACCGCTCTCTGAAGGTGGCCACAGTGATTGAGAGTCTGGAGATGGAGATGGAGCTGCTGTGTCTGACTGGGGTGGAGGACCAGCTCCAGACAGACGTCAGGCCCACCCTGGAGATCCTCCGCAATGCAGGCATCAAGGTCTGAGGTGGAAGGAGGCATGGCCACATAGCTCACAGTAGCAACAAATTACGAAAACAAAACATAGAAACAAAACAAGTAAAAGTATGTTTTTTCATCTCTACCGACATGATTAAGCCTCATTCAAATAGATACCTCATTCAAGTATAAAAACCAAGACTGCCATACATTTGAAGTAATTACATGGAATTTTTTTAAGTGGTTGCTAGTTGGCACACTTCGTATGGTTGATGTAAAATATTTGACCACATTTTTATGGAAACAAGGATTTGGTTTTGTGCAAGAGAACCAGAAAGCTGATTAGTCACTGTGGTAAGAGTTGGGCTAATACTCCCTTCTACTACCCTTCCCTCTTTATTCAAAGGGTTAGTTCACCCAAAAGAAACAATTTTCCTCACTTAGCTCTAGTGGTATCTAGCTGTGCAGATAGGTTCAGGTGTATTGGCTCAGGTTCTGAGATATGTGTATCTGAGATGTCTCCCTCCACCCCAATACAGTGGAGGTGAATGGAATTACATTTCATCTTCTCATAGCATTTAAAAGATGAAATTATTTGTTATTAATTATTATTTTTGATATAAAATAAAAAGTCAATAGTATCGTTCCAGCAACAGTGTCCCTGTAACTCTTATGTTCCAGTGAAAACTTTTGACCCTGTGTTCAGTGAATTTTCCAGAGTATCAGGAGCATTCTTCCCGGAAAGACGTGTTACTAGTGAATTTTTTAAAATGTAATTTTTAATTAATCTGAGGGGAGGTAGAAATCTGTGTGGTGAATATCTCAAAACTCAAGCAAAAAACAAAAACAAAAACTCAAAACCAGTACATTTAAGAAATCACTGGTTTTATACATGTAACTTATTTAGAATTTAAGATCTAAGCTTCTATAAGCAGCATCCAAATGACTCCATGAAGAATCAGTCTGAGACAGAAGTTGGATACTGTGATTCCAATCTACGTGACGACTCGTTTTTGCATCCAGTTTGAAACACAATTACTATAATAAAGATAAGTCCTCACATTTTGACCACAGACAGTCACAGGTTGCTTGATCAAGTCGGTGATTAGAGTCTTTGATTTCTGGAGTTTAGCTTTTGTTAACTGATTTAACAGATTATTGAAACACACATTTTTCTTTGGTTTATTGATATGTTTCAGTGGAATTTCTCTACAAACCTCAGTGCATCTTGTAAACCCATAAATTCTCTTCACTACATGTTATTCTCTGGTTTCTGTGTAGGTTTGGATGCTGACAGGAGACAAGCTTGAAACAGCCACATGCACAGCTAAGAACGCCCATCTGATCACCCGCAACCAGGACATCCACATCTTCAGACCCGTAAGTGCAGGACAAGGACCCGTCTTCCTTTTCGTTTGCATATGAAGTGGGGAATAGTTGATTTTAGTACAACAGGGTTCATCCCAGTTCAACGCAGCACTGACAGTTTCCTGACTCTGTCGACCCACGGGCATCCATCCTCCTGTGCGACCAAGGCCCATTTGCTAGTGGTCAAACAGCCCCACACAACTACGCATGCAGCCCAAGCCAGCATCCACAGCTGAATAAATCACCGCCCACCAGTGAAAGCATCCAAGCCACTGTCAAAGAGAACAAACAGGCCTTCGCTCAGCCAGAGAGGAGAAACCAGCTGAACCACTCCCAGAGGGAACATGCAGAGGGCTCACTTCCTAATTTGTTTTGCAGGTTTCAGGCTTTGATAGTCCCCCTTCTGCCTTCCCCTCTGGAGCAATGCCAGAGCTGAAGGAGCGCCTGCCATATAGGAAGGTTACAACTTGCGTACAACTGCGGTTACTGGAAGAGAATAACAATGGTTGGCACGGCTTGAAAACCTCTGTCCCAGTGGACGGGGGAGTGCTGACTGGGCCTGCAACACATACATCTGGATTAGTTTCCTTGTGGCCACCAATGGCCTGATCTGGATTGACGTATGAATAGTCAGCGGTTGAAGGATATTCATACCGGAGCATAGCTCCTGTTGACAGATTAACACCATGCCCTGTCAGTGCTGCACATTTTTGGAGAATTTTTTAATCTATATTTGAAACTGACACAATTGTGAGGAAACTCACTTGATTTGATATTTTCCCACTTCCCAGTTTCCCTTTCCAATTAAGATTTCAGTACCTCTTCTCTTTTCACTCATTCATACTACGCTAGATAAACATTTAGATGTAATGTTATTTTCTTGTGTTTGTTTATACATTTATCAACAACTGTAACTTCCTATGTGAAGGCATATTTTACATTGGCACATCTGGTTATTATTATATTGTCATTCATGATGTTTACGTAGCCTCCGCTTATAAGTGCCGACAGGAGGAGTTATAGTAATAAACACTAATATTTTTATACAGATGCAGAGAATTTAATAGTTCACTTTTGGGTGCATTGCTCAGCTAGAAGGGCAATAATTAGATTTTATAGTCTTATTGACTTTCAGTAGAATCCTGATGATGTGATTATGTCATGAATTAATTTTACGATATGTTATTTGAAGTAATGTTTTAGGGAAACTGGAATCGAAAACTAATGCGGTTTGTGGTTAAAATTTTTTCGTTTTACACTTTTTTTCTGATGTAATACATAACAGTAGACCACAGTCCATTGTACTGAACATCAGTTAAATCAATTCATGTGTCATTTTGCCAACATTTCCCATTTACTGCCAGTAAGCCTTCACTGATCCAGTTTGTGAAATGAATCAGTAAATGGCCAGACACTATTGTTATTACATTAATTAAATTTTCATTATTTTCACCCAAAAAATGTTAGAAAATTGTGAAAAATGCCTGGTATAATTTGCCTCAGTCCAAGGAAATTCAAATGTCTATTTTCAGATGTCTCATTTTCGTCGACCAGGAAAAATGCAAACAAACTGATTGAAAATGACTAAAATTATGAATCAGTTATCAGTATATTCTACCATTAGTTAGTGGGATGTGTGGCAGATATTCGGTTGCTCTAACGTTTGTCATCACTGCAGCTTGAGTGAAAAAGCTGCCATTGTTTTGTCTGATAACAATCAGGATGCAAAGGCTGACAGATTGTCATCCTCGATAATTTTTCTATGTGAGTGTTTTTTTTGTGTGTGTGTCTATGTTCATGCATGTGCATTCTTTTATAAATGTGGTCGTCATTGCCATAGGTGACAACACGAGGGGAAGCCCACCTGGAGCTCAACGCTTTCAGAAGAAAACACGACTGCGCTCTGGTGATATCGGGGGACTCGCTTGAGGTAAACTCCCTGTGTATGTGTGTGTGTGTGTGTGTGTGTGTGTGTGTGTGTGTGTCTCAACCTCCTCTCACCGATTTATCTCTCCTTATGAAACTCTGACATGTTTTCTGTGTGATGCATGATAATATCACTGCCACTGAAGCATCTCTGGAAGTGGTATCTGTGGTTAGACTCATTTTCTATACTGCAATAGGGGTTAAACTGTAGGTGTTGAGGATCCACAGCTGAGATCAGTTATATGCGGTGGCCTGAGTTGCTCACCCATTTGTTTTTGATGGTGTTTCTTTGTAGGTTTGTCTGAAATACTATGAGTATGAGTTTATGGAGCTTGCGTGTCAGTGCCCTGCTGTGGTTTGCTGCCGATGTACCCCCACCCAGAAGGCACAGATAGTGCGGCTGCTGCAAGAGCGCACAGGCAAGCTCACCTGCGCTGTAGGTGAGTAGAAAATAGAAACAGCCCGACAGCTTTTTCATATCTCGAGCACTCCCAGTATGAGCATCCATAAAGTGCCACAGTCAAGCACAGCTGATGGTTAAATGTGCATTAATGCTATTATGCAGCGTGTCACTTGATGATGGTAACACCTAGAGCTGAGTGATGATTCATATTATTGTTATTGCCCTTCAATAGAATCATATTGTGCTGATAGCATCATATCAAGAGTTTTGTAACATATAACAGTGGAGCACAGCTCACTGAACTGAACATCACTCAATCTGAACATTTTATATGTGATCTCATTGTGTCATTTGAAAGATATTTTCATTAATAGGTCCTTCATGAATTCCAGCTACTGTATATCACTCAGCTCCTTTATCTGACAAATTCCTTGGCTGTAGTTCTGATCTCTTAATCAGGCCGAATTAAGGGAGTGTCTCATGAAATACGCACACACATTACTCTCTTAACAGTTTGTATTGTTGAGTCACTGATGTGAATCCTGACACCTCCGTGGCTTTTGTTTTCTCTTAGGGGATGGAGGAAACGATGTCAGCATGATCCAGGAAGCTGACTGTGGCGTGGGAGTGGAGGGAAAAGTAAGATTCGCTCCATCTCATCGCCTCACATTGACGTGCTGCTCTCACAGATTTTTTCTTTGCGTTTCCTGTCAAGATTTCTCTCACATCCAGAGACACATAGCGGGACATGCACACAGATGATTCCTCTTTATGAGGATCTATTGTCTGAGTAGAGGAAATAAGGATGACAGGATGCTTTTGCGCTTAAGTAAAAGTAAGAGTCTCTCATCAGCCTGCTGCCTCTTGTACCTCTCTCTCTGTATGTTTCCTGTCAAGATGGCTGGTTTGCTCTGACATGGACCCGTGTCTGCAGTGATGTTACAACATTTTGGAAAATTCGCTTATTTGCTTTTTTTGATGAGAAAGTTGAGGAAGTTGATACCCCTCTCACATGTGTCCATTAAAGATAAAGCTGGAGTCAGCAGTTTGGCTGGAGCTTATACCAGTATACACTCTGCAAAAGGTGAGCTGCACCCTGGACTAGTCACAAATCCAAGGTTCAGCCTCAGACATACAGACAAAAACGTTCACACTCACCTTCACAGCTACAGGCAACTTAGAGTTTCCAGTTCACCCTAAAAAGCTGCAAGTATTTGGCATGTGGGAGGAAACAGGAGAACCACAACTGTGAGAAGAACATGTTTTCTGTACAGAGGGTGCTTTCAAATTCAATTGCATTACAGAAAATAAAAGAAATAACGGCATTATGATTAAAAGCTCCAGAGATAACTTTACCCTCTAACAAACATGGACACATTGCACTTGACTGGTTATTAGAGTTGAAACAATGAGTTGGTTCATCAGTTATTGGCCAAATGAGAGAAAAATCCACAACAGTTTTGATAATTGAATAAGTAGTCAAAAGCAGCCATGCTCCGGGTACTGATCTGGTTTCAAGGGAAACAATCCAAAGTAAAAAAAAAGCTTGTTCTCTTTTTTAATTTATATTATTATTTATATTGTTTATTATCTATTTCTATTCATATGTTGCAGAATTGTCTTTTTTATTGATTAATTGATTTCTATTTATTCTTTTTTTCAGAGTGAGAGAGCCCCTTCTTTGACTGATGATTGAATTATTGAAAATTTTTTTTTTTTTTTTACTAAAAATGCTGAAAATTCTCTGGTTCTCAACTCAAATGTGAACATGTGCTGTTTTTCTTTTTCTTCTATGACAGTAAATTTAATATTTTGGGGTTTTTGACTTTTGGTCAGACTAAACAAGCTATTTGAAGATGACTATTTTCTCATATTTTACAGACCAATAGATTAATTAAGAAAATAACCAGCATATTAATTGATAATCAAGAGGGTAATTAGTTTCTGCTCTACTTGTTATTATAGATTAATATGGCATATTCAGTGAATGTGTTTTCTCAGGATTTATTAAAATCTCTAGATCTCATGTCCAACAGACTGTTGATTCTTCCTAGTCTAATGTTTTTAGGGAGTATTTGCCCCTTTAGCCTCATTTTTGTTTCCAAATAACCGAGCTACATATCTGTCACTGTTCATATTACAGTAAGCACTCAAAGGCCTACTTTTCAGGTCAGCAAAGACGTGTTGTAGCGTGTCCTCATTGCCCTCTGTGCTGTGTGTTTGACAGGAAGGAAAGCAGGCCTCCTTGGCCGCCGACTTCTCTGTGACTCAGTTCAAACATTTGGGCCGTCTCCTCATGGTCCACGGTCGGAACAGCTACAAAAGGTCTGCAGCCCTAAGCCAGTTCGTCATCCACAGGAGCCTGTGCATCAGTACCATGCAGGTAAAGTGCAACTAAAACATGGTGCCATGGGTTTGTGTTCAGCAGCCGTATTGAACTTTGAATTCTTTTACAACAGCTTTGGCTCAGTTTAAACAACAGTGAGTTTCAATGTGCAAAACTCTGACCACAGGATTCTGCACTCCTTATTTTTTGCCTCCAAGTTCCACATAGCACACAAAATGAAAACATCTGTGTTAAATTATATAATACATCACATACTGTGTTTATCAGAGCAGCAGAACAGATATATTAATACATGAATTTTAAATATTGTTCCATTTTAAAATAGCAAATATTTCTGTCAAACAATAACAGATTTTCATCAAAACCAAGTCTGCACTGGTCATTTTCTCAAAATAATACAAATAGAAATTAGAGAAAAAGTACAATCACTGCAGAAGTCAGTATTTGACATGTTAAGTAAGAATGGCTTTTTAAATCATGGATTTAATTAATTTAATATACTCTGTTGCTGTAATTATACTGTAGACAGTGAAGTCTATAGACTGACTTAATGCTACAGAAAAACAATGATTCAGATTTGATTTTACTGGAACAATTAAGCTTTTCAAGGTTTGTTTTTAATCAAACTTCAGATGCTTCAGTCACTTGTAAGTTTTATCATCTAAAATACAGTAAGCTGCAGTGATACTGGAAAGCATTAAACCAGAAGAAGACTTTCATCACATTGTGATGTTTTGACAGAATTCCAAAGGAAAGAAATTACAATTTTGATCCTGTTCTGTTGCCGTACATTTGACATGCACGTTATTAGCAAAGCTGGTTTGCATTGCTGTCCACCTGAGTAATAATGTTCAAATAAGGAAAAATACTTGCAAACATATGTTGTATTAATACAGTGATCTGTATGTTCAGTAATCAGCAGTAAAAATAATATGACTTGGCTGGAGACTGAAGACTGAGCATGTTAATCCGTGTTAAGTGTTTAGTCTATAAAGGTAAGAATTCAGCAAGTCAGTTTGGCTTTTTGTGTTAAGAGTCTTCCACATTGAAAGTCTGACCCAAAGTGATTGTGAAATACTGAAAGAGAATATATGTTATATGAGTTATGTTTATCCACAACACCTAAGACCTCAATGTGAGGAGGACATGATTGGGGCAAGGCAGGGAGAAGTTTCAGGGGTGGTCATGGAAGGGCGGGGTGCGCAATGACTCAGAGGAGAGGGCTTGTGGTGTCCTTCTTAGCCACCCCTCCCCCCCTTACACACACACACACACACACACACACACACACACACTGGACACTGTCCCCAGTTCAATTCCCATGTCCCAGTCCAACCTCAGCCTCCGCCGTGGAGGGACGGCCCGTGACTCACTGCATCATGGACTTTTGAGATTTTAGGGAGGCCCTCCTCCACATGTCTCACATTAACACCGACCACAGCCGCAGCTGTGACCTGTCTGGTTTGGGGGCCGCCTGGATGGAAGGCTGACTAGCCTACAGCTCAATACTGGCATCATCCATATGTTGAAGACATATGCCAGAGTGAGTCAGTGAAGTTTTCTCCAACAGCAGCTCTGCTGTACAATGAAGGTTATTGCGGTGATTTAGCTAATTGATTAGTCAGAGTGTGGTTACCTTTTCATTTGCGCGTTACCATGACAGGTTAATGTTATAATGTAATATCTTTCATTTCCTCCCATTCCTCTGATTTAAATGAACTTATTTCTGTCTGTAGCATTTGAAAAGTGATGCCCCTGATTCCTCCCATTATCATCTGTAATGCCATCAGAGTATTTGATAGATAGATAGATAGATAGATAGATAGATAGATAGATGGATACTTTTTTTATTAATATGAAAAGAAGAATAAATCACTTTCTTGGTTCTCCTCTGTCCCCAGGCCGTTTTCTCCTCCGTTTTCTACTTTGCTTCAGTCCCTCTCTACCAAGGATTTCTGATTATCGGGTAAGAAAGGCGATGACTTATCAAGGGAGCATTTGGCTGCCTTTACTCCATGGCATTTCCTCTGTGTTAAGGCACTGTTGAAACACGAGAAGGGGAAAATGTGAAAGTATTGACTACTCCAATGATGCATTTCTAATGAATCTAACAATGAAATGTGTGAAACTTTTTTTGTCCATGTGCCATTTTCTCTGGAGCATGCCCCCACCCCACCACCCCTTCACACTGAGGACACATGATTTTGTCTGTTTCAGCTACTCCACTATCTACACCATGTTCCCCGTCTTCTCCCTGGTGTTGGACAAGGATGTGAAGTCAGAGGTTGCCATGTTGTACCCAGAGTTATACAAAGATCTCTTGAAGGTATATAATGAGTGTTCACCTCCTACATGTTACAGTGGAGCCAAAAATATGAAAAATTATTAATATGATGTCTTGTTCTACCCCACAGGGTCGACCACTGTCTTTCAAGACATTTCTAATATGGGTCCTAATAAGTATCTATCAAGGTAAGGAAGAGTTGATAATCAGAGTCAGTAACTGCAACTGTTGGAGAGAGAGGTAGCCATAGCCTAAAAATTATAAAAATGAGTAAAGTCAACATACTGTGAATCACAGAGTCATCACTTTCCATACACACACTCAGCTATTTTGGAGGTTGGTCGGTCAAATGCAGATGAACAATGCCTCAGATCAGACACAGAGATGAGGATCAGATGTTTGATCTCAGCACACTGACGAATCATTCCCTGACAAACAGAGATAAAAGGTGTCTTGCTCTTCTTTGTGACACACTTCTCTTCAGCAGCCCACGGCTCACACACTTTCTTGTAATTTCTCCAGAGGTTTATTGATGTGTGAGGACTTTGTTGGTCAAAAACCCAAGTAAAGGTACATTTCCAACATGGGCCATTTACAGTGAAAAGTCTCTGCAGGGGAATACTAAGCTATTCCCAGGAACCTTTGACCTGTTTCTGTCAGAACATGAAGGTTCCATTTTATGGCTGATCTTAAGACACTGTACATTTTCAAGTAATGTTGCCTGCTTTCCAAACAATAGTTCTGTATAGATGAAACACTTTCAGGTATAAGATTGTTTCAAACATTTTTAACAGATCTGTCATTATCAAAGCAATCAAAAATGTTTATTTTTAAACCCCAAACAATTGGTTCTGACAAAAGGCTGTGAGAGGTCATCAGAGGTCATTCCCTGAACCTAAAATCAGCTCAGTAGTTTTCATATTTGGGCTTTGCACATATTTGATTATTTGTCATGATATTGAGATAGATTGGTTCAGGGTGTGTGGTCAACATCAGTGGTGAATACAGTCCGGATCAGTTGAGAGGATTGTGTGTTTACATGAACACAGTGGTAGCTAAACACACACACTGAGCACAATCCTGTTCAGCTAGCTGCAGCTAACATTGATAAAACTACACCAGCAAGTGCAGATAATGTTAATCATCCATACACTGTACTGCTGTAGTAGTGTCACTATATAAACTCTTGTAGCAAGAGCTAAAGGTTCATAACCTCAAAACAAAGCTAACAACATGAGCTATGATAAAAATGAACTGATGAGCATTAGCTGCAGCTGGTGATGGCTGCTGCTCAGCTACTTGTGTTTTTGTGTAAGCTAGCTGACCTAGCTGTAGTTTGTGTTAACTACCGTTGATGCACGCACTCACACCTTGGACCCGTCCGTGATTTGGACATGCTGAATGCATTATCATATACTAATAAGGAAAATAAGATTTAATTGATTTCGTTAACTGATTGGGAATTAAAATAAAAATATACAGGTTGGTGTTTCATGTAGTTTTGACTCTTCTGGTAACTTTTTCAGACCTCCGTTGCTCTGACCCTGCTGGATAGTCACTTTGTTTTCAGACTAAAGCTTGACTGTAACGCTGAATCACTGTGTGGCTTATGACTTACATCTCTAAATGTTGCTCTTAATACATACCACCATTGGTCTCATTCTCAGGCTGTGGCCTCTTTTTCCTCCACAGGGAGCATCATCATGTACGGGGCCCTGCTTCTCTTCGAATCAGAGTTCGTCCATATCGTCGCCATTTCCTTCACCTCTCTCATCCTGACTGAGCTGCTGATGGTGGCCCTGACCATTCAGACGTGGCACTGGCTCATGATCGTCGGCGAGCTCCTGAGCTTGGCCTGTTACGTCGCCTCGCTCGTCTTCCTGCATGAGTTCATAGGTGAGTGAACACAAACACACGTACGCACAAACTCATATTTCACCCACACAAAAGGTGACTCGCAGCCCGTGGTGCTGTATTTCATAGAGACGAGAAAACAAACGCAGTCCGCGCTCATTTCACTGCAGCCTGATTGATGTTGTTGTGCTTCGGGCGACCTTGAAATAGTACGTCAGCATTCAGCAGTAAGGGGGACCTGTTCATTCATATAGTGCCTCTGGTGTGCAATAAGCTGCGGTCTGCTGGATAATAGGAAGTCTAAAGGTGAGTGCATTGACAAATAGTCCTGGTGTGGATGAGACTCAGGCATACCGTAGTATCAAAGAGGAAATGCCAACAGGGCTGTTAGTTTCCTGTGGACTGCTATGGCTCATGTGTTTATCACAGACAAGGTGTTCGGTAGAAAACACTACCCACAAAAATATTATTCTCATCACCATTAGACACCTGGAACATAAACAAGTTTAACAGCAGAGGGGAGAGTAATGTTGGTGTTTATATTATTCCATTACAGCCTCCTTGTTGCCAGGCTATTGGGCATTTATTTACTTGAGCTGACTAAAAAAAAAAAACGAGCCAATTTTAGTTGTGCCATATTAAGACTTGTGACATATACAATACTCTGACCGAGAGCTTTGCAGGCCTTTATTTTCAGCTTTATGTGGGGTGTGGAGTTCCACTTTCAGCCTACAATCTCGACCACTGAGGATCATGACTGGCGTGTGGTGGAGCGTACCCTTTTTGGACACTTTTCCTCTGTCTTGAAGTCAGACTGGAATAGACTTTAAAGGCTATTCTTCTGTTGCATCTTGCAACTCTTCTTCTCTGTTGCACTTAATCTGACATTTTGTAAGGAAATTTGTATGAAACTGTAACAGGTTAATTTGTCTTGCATTCAAAGCACACTGGACTGATACCATGCCAACTCACAAACATTTAGTCAATCCTACAGTCTCCTTCTGACCTTTGCCTCTTCTCCTGTGCCAGATGTATATTTCATCACCACGGTGTCGTTCCTGTGGAAGGTGACCGTCATCACGCTAGTGAGCTGTCTGCCTCTTTACATCCTCAAGTACCTGCGGAGACGCTTCTCTCCGCCCAGCTACTCCAAACTGACCTCTTAAAGAGCGAGAGGAGCCTGCAGCCTTGTTTATGTGGGGAGCACAGAAAGTCATCCCTTGTATTCATCCAACAGAGCCTACGCTTAGACCAGAGAATCAAACATGGATTCATCTCCTTTAATTTGTTCTGAAACGTTCTCCTTAGAAATGTGAAAGACAGACAGAGAGTTGTGTCAGGGACAGGTTGTTTACTGAGGAGGGGAGTCTGAGTTCAAAAGCAGTGTTACTTGCTACATGTGTCTAATGCAAAGACTAACTGATGGCTGCTTTATTTTTTTTGTATTATAATAATGTGGCTGTTGCCTGTATGTAATCAATTAAGACACAAAATGAGTTAAGTAAATGATGCAGGTCCAGTTTGTTTTATGTCAAAAATCACATCAGGAAAAGCAACTGGAAACGTTGGAAGTCTCTCACTCAGATTCATATACGTGTCATTTGGGCTGAAAGATAATTTTCTATAATTTCTAGTTCCATCTGAAAAGTAAAGCTGTTTTTATTATTAGACACTGAAATTGACGTAGCATTCTCACTCAGGACTTGATTCACACTCTCCTTAAACAGTGATTTCCAAATGGAGTTTGAGAATTACACGGTAAGAAAAAAAGTTTACTGGCCAGACTTTGCATAAAACACACGTCTGCAAGTTTGTGTATTTGTTTATGCGTCACCCCGATGCTACAGCCACGGCACGGCGGAGGTGGTGCGGTTGTTTATTTTAGCGTGACCTGTGATGTCTGATGTTAAATTTATCTTTGTCTCTCTGTGTGGACCCTGAGTTGTTAGTGTTTGTGGAGCGCGGTCAAAACAGCCACAAAGGAGCGTCGGTTATTTGCAGCCGAAACCTTCCGCCGGGGCTCCCGACAGGCTGTGCGTCCACAGGGGAATGAGCAGCCTCTCATGTGGCCGCTCAGGCAGGCCAGCTCCAGCCACGCTTCAGCATTGCATGATGACTCACTGTAACAGTGACCTAAAGCCATAACTGAAAATACCCGTGTGACCGGCGTCCAGCTGCCCCATTTCATTTCATGTCATCTAATGTAGGGCCCCCTCACTTCTCACTGCTACTAACCTCCACAGCTCAGCAGCGAAAGAAAAAAGAGAAGAAATCACCAATAGTCAGTCAAGTACAATGTGAATTTTGTCAATAAGTATTACTACTGCACATTCAGAAAAAGAAAACGGTACGTTACTTCTGTAAATTCACTCCTCACATCCTTCATCTGACTCGTGTGATGATGGAGATACTGTAAATAATGAGCAACTAACAGAATTACATGGCCACATTTTCACTCATTTTAGTTGTTGAAAAGATTGTTATGTGAATCATGAAACATTTCTGGGATGAATCTTACTGTCAGACAGATGCAGGATGTCATAACTAATCATTTCTCTGTTAATGTAAAACTAAACTTTTAAGCCCCACTGAATTCAGCAACTTGTTTGCACAGAATGTTTTTTTGTATGACCATTATATTTTTCTGTTGTGATGGAACTGCAAAACTTAAATGATGCTAAGATAATTTGGCTGCTTGTAAATAACCTGTTTTTTTCTCTTTTTTTTTTATTTATTAACCTATTTTATTTATGGTGTTGATTGCACTCAAATGAGCTGAACAAAAAGGGAGAATTGTGTTGATGTCAATGTTGTGATGATTAATAAATCTCATGTTTTCTTTTCTTGTGTAATTTTTTTCATACATGTGATATTTGAAGGGGTTTCATTGTCAATAGAGCTTAAAGGACGAGACTGGTATTATTGTAGATTTTCCTCATTGTCAACATATGTCAGGAAAAAAAACATTTGTGTGTTATTCTTTTTATCAATACAAATATCATTTGATGATGTTGATCATAATGAAGGAACATGTGTGGAACACATTTGTGTGTCTCATTTATGTTGATAGTTTTTGGAGCTCTGGAACAGAAGAATAAGTCATATGAGGCTTAAATTAGACATAGAATACTTACAATACTCATTTTATGGTTTTGGTCTTTTTATAGGACTTGCTGACAATAAGAATATATATTACGACATCTCCTTTAAGATGGTAAACTTAGAGGAACAGTTTTTAAAATAGACCCACATGACAGGTATTATGAGGTTTCGCAAAGGTCTGGAGGACTGATGTCTTTTTTTTATAAGTGCAAATGGTGAAACAGCCACAGAATGTAATAATGGAGCTTAACTATGGCTTAATGACCTTTTCGTGAATTATAAAAGTGGAACCAATTTAGCTCAATGTGGCATAACGTGACTTTAGCGGCCTCAAACTACGTCACGATGATTAAAACCAACCTTACACTGTCATGCAGCCGTAGATGGTCTATGATGAGAATAGTAAGTAAAAAAGAAAAAAAATACATATTTTTGAATGAAATAAACTGTTATACTCTATTTCTCCAGGGCGTTCCACATGCTTGGAAACTGAGTTTGGACTAACATCCACAGTTTGTGTGCAGAAACAATCATGGTTGTTCTGGTGGAGTTCCACTTCAGTCTCTGATGAAGTGCGAGTTACACAGGACATACAGGCAGACAGAGGGGGCTGGATGTTTGGCACTCTCTCACCAGAGGAGGGAGTCCCTGATGCCTGGAGACACATGTGTTTTCACATCCTACATGTTCCAGGTTACCACAGTCTTAAACTTTGACATTGAGCCTAATCAGGAATCAAAAAGCTAAGTAATGTAACACAAAGTTATATATGAAATCATTGGAAATGAATAACCTCTTCTTTGAATTACTTTTCATTAAAACTGCTACCACATCTCTTCATTTTTTTCTTTAAACTTAATGTCCACTCTTGGTTTGAGTTTGAGTTTTTAGAAGGAATGTTAATTATCCATGTAGGTTACAGGTTGTAAAAGCATTGAAGCTTACATGATGTTTCAGCCCAGTGATGGTTTTAGTTGGATTAGATCCTCTGCCATAAAATCTTTTCCTTTTTATAACATGCAGTCAAGCACCTCAGTACTGCATGTTCAAATTAAAACTACAGTGTATGTCCAACTTTTTTTCCTCTTATTCCATTGCCCAAATGCGTAAGTTATACCATTAAAAGAAACCATTTAACTTAATCAGTCCCATGAAAACTGAAATTCCACTCCAGAGTCAACAGGGCTGCCTGCTAACCTTAACATTTGTGGTCTTTCCTCCTCTCTTGAAGCTCCGGAGCCCCCGGCTGGTTCGCTGCCAAATCCACAATCCAATCAGAGTCAGAGTAAATTTTGAAATTTACTTTGCATTTTTACAAGGTTTGGATTTTCAGCCTTTAAAAAGAAGTAGCTTACAGCTGTTACATAACAAATCCAGGCTAATTATCACGGCGCATTTTATCTTTGGCACTTCAAGACAGGAATTTGTTTCCAGCTCGGAAACATCTTACACGCTGATCCCAATGGAACAGTGCGAGAGAGAGTTAGAGAGAGAGTTAGAGAGAGAGAGAGAGAGAGACTACCATGAATATACAACAGAATACACCACAAACTGTCACAGGGTCCTGACTGGAGCAGTTCATACAGATGATAGCATGGAACCATGTGGGATCCGTATCCAGCTTTTAGGCCTAGGGGACCGCATCAACCAGGCCGCTGGGCCTTCGCCAGTTTCCTGGAGAGAACACTGAACCCCTGCTTCACAGTTTAGGTCTGAGGTCAACTGTGCTTCTGTGTCACATCCGATTGGTTAACGTCCTAATGAACTCAATCGCAACAACTCCAATTTGCATAACGCTCCCAGGATTATATGCCACATTAAGCTTGTCTGCTTAGATGCAACGAGTTGTTTTGAAATAATAGAAACCCTCGATGGACGATTTGGATTGACACCAAATAATGAACAAGCCAGTGCAGATGAACTGTTTACTACAAACTGTTATTGCTCTGTGTAAACACTGGATTTTGGCAATGACAGGCCCCTCACAGAAACATTGCAAAGCATGAACACACACACCCTCCTCTGGCACTATATATAGCTCTGTGGGCCTGGAAAGCTTTGATTTGTCTTAGCACCCACGAATGTTAAAGACAGGCGTGTGCAGATGTGTTCGCCTGCCTCCCTCTGTGATCTCTAATGACAGCAGTTGATGCCTCCAACAACAGTGAGCAAAACCACAAATCACTTTAAGACTGAATGGATTAAATACATTTTTTTACACTAGTGCAGAGAGTGATTAATTGTGATTGTTGGGGCTGAAATGCAGTAAGTTGCTGTTATGAATGAAGTTGTAATGGGAGAGATGAGCTGAAATGCAGAATAAGTTGTTTCTCTTTGTTTTGACTACCAAATATTATCCATTCATATTGTGCTTAGAATAGATACAAAGAGATGTTAAAAGTTATGAAATACTGTAGGATAGAATTGGAAACCTGGATAAGACAGAAAATAGTGTTGACAAGGGGGGGGGGGTGATATAGTTTCTGGGGATTTCATACCGCTGTGCTGAGAAGGGAAAAATCCATGAGCTAGTCCACCACTTTTCCACTGGACTTAAGACACTTGAATTCTTTCTACAAACATTCGAGTATCGATCAGAATCCTGTTACATAAGTAGGCGGTTCAGTCCAGCGCGGTGGATGTATGTAGTTTCCATGTTGATGGAACATATTACTTCATTCGCACGATTCGGAAAAAGAAGCAGAATGTTTTCCAGGGATCTCAAGTTGTGGCAGGAAGGAAATAAGATTCCTTATTGCACAATGACATGCCAACACTGCCCAAACTGAGATCCTGTCAGCAGCGGTCCCAGCAGCTACAGCGCTGCTTGTTTAACATTGATTGTTAATTATGAAACATGACCTAATTTTATTAGGCTGCTACAGCATTAAAAGGCAGTCCACAAATTCTTGAACTACCTCCTCCAGTCCTCTTAAACAGCCTTTTTTAAAAAAAAAAAAAAAAAAAGTCTATCCACTTGTGCTATAAAGGAAAAGTCCCTCTCCATTGAAAAATAGGTTTTGATTATTGTTACTTAACTTTGATGTTTGGCCGTTTGACACCATGGGGCTGTTTTAACATTCATCAGCTGAGAAGGGAAAGTTTATGAATTTGAGCATAACTTACAAATTCTGGACGACAATCATGGTCCAACAACAAACTTAGTGTGATGTGAAAACTTGAAACCTTCAGTGCACTAACACTGAGAGAGGAATGAGTGAATTAGGAGACATCTTGTGTCCATATTTTAAAATAAAACATTTACATATTCGTGGCAGTAGATGAGCTTTTTAGAATATTTAACCTTTTAATTGACCTTTTTTTGGGGGGAGAAAAAAATATCAGACAAAGAAAAATTTGACATTTTGGGAAATGCACTTATTAAATTTTATGTCAAGAGTTAGATGTGTAGATTGATACCATTCTTATGTCTGCACACTGGATATGAAGCTACTGTACACCCAGCAGCCAGCTGACTTAGCTTAGCACAAAGACTGGATATAGGAAAACAGCTAGCCCGGCTCTGTCATGGATAAAAATCCCAGAGCCAATTCCAGCTGACATTTGGTGAGGGGTGGGGTACACCCTGGACAGGTTGCCAGACTATCACAGGGCCAAGAGTAACTCTAAAATGGCAGTTAAACTGATTTTTTTTTTAAATGTTTTGTCTAAAAGAGACAAAGATACATGTTAATGAGCTACAGGTACTTTTACAGTATGATTCTGTTACCTTCAGACAGACCCAGGCTAGCTGTGTCCACCTGTAACCAGTCTCTATACTAAGCTAAGTTAGCTGCTAGCTGTTCATGTGAGTGGTATCAATCTTCTCATCTAACTTTTGACAAGAAAGTGAATAAACATATTTTTCAAAATGTAGAACTTCATGCAAGAAGATGATGTTAAATCGATAACCCTGACTGAAGTTACATTGCTTTATCTTAGTTATATTCCTTTATCTTTAAATAATGGATTGAGTGACAGACCTGTCCAGGTGTACCCTGCAGTGCATACTGGGACAGGTCACTGCAGTCACTGCAATCCTGGATGGAATAACGGGTATTGAAAGCAGACAATGGATGGTTTACTCCAAACATCATCAAGAGGTATAAAGTGTAATCAGAGTTAATGCAAAGGAGAAAAGCACAATGTACCTGGCGTATAAGAGAGCAGATCAAGAGGCCCACATGCAGGCAAAAGTCCATGCTTCCCTTTGCCCTCTGAATTTCCTTGGAAAGATTTCCATGAGACACGATACCATGTACCATTTCCATATCAAAGTTCCACTGCTTGGATTTAAAAGCTCAATCACATATGTTACACTTGGAAAACTGAAACAGGGCAATGCTCTAACCCAGACAACTCTACCTCAATGAGCTGTTTTACAGTGATGGAAAATACTGCATGAACTTGGAAAAAGTGGGTTCTCTGAGAAAGAAAAAAAAAACGGAAGCGCAAACTCGGCCGTCTGGACAGAGGCAGTTTTCCTTTCTTAAGCGTGTGCCGTATTCATTTACTCATTCATGATCTGAGTTGCATAAGTGTTCCATAACAGTGGAGGAATTTACATCTGGTAGACAAGGCTGCTGGACGGTTACCCCCAAAGCGTCGGCTCTGTCCACTGCGGTTCACAGAGTCATCGCAGTCAACTTGTTCACCCAGCAGTCTAGCACAGACACCCTCGCTTAGACTAATCCATGTCTCGATCCAAAACAGAGCCACTGATTACACTCCCCCCCTCTCTCTCTGTACACACATTTTCCTATGAGTGGCCTTGGGTCTGACATGACTGATGTAAGCACAGGATCAGTCACCGAGGCTATGTAGACATCATAGCACATGAAATATAGCTTAGATCTTTTACACCAGGCTTCTGGCTTGTCCTGATTTTCCCTGGATTTGTATCAAATCACTGAGTGGTGCGTATTCTGCCATATGTTGAGTATGAAGTGCACATGTGATATAAGGGTGTGTATATAAGACAAATTGGGAAACAGTTATTTACTTACTTGCTCAGAGTTAGCTTAGAAGTTTGATGCCCCTCTCGTATCTGTATGTTAGCTACAGCCAGTCGGCGGTTAGCTTAGCTCAGCATAAAGACTGGAAACGGGGAAAAAGCTACCCTGGCTCTGTCAAAGGATTTGCAAAATAGCAACTCTAAAACTCAATAATAAACAACAAACAAGTTACAATTTGTTAATTAAGATATAAAGTATTAATTTATGATGTTTAGAGATGCTAGTAGTAGAGATGGGCTAACTGTTTCCCGTTGCGTCATAATGCTAATCTAAGATAACGGTTTCCTCGCTGTAGCTTCACATTTAACAGAAAAATATGAGTGGTATCTAACTCTCAGCATTTAAATGTGTAAAATGTGTATTTGTGTGCAATGGAAAACTATTCTTTTAAACTTGACCTATATTATTCACATACTAGAAATGTTGGTTCTCAGTAGGATCAGTTTAAAAGGATACATGCCTTAGCTAAATCCAAATATCTTTAAATGTATGTATTTTGGAAACTACTAAGCTCGGTACAGCACTCAAAGCACCAGCACAGGCAGCAATTCATGGCATTGAAACAGCAATGTATAGTTTAACTTGGCTCATCTGGATGGCTTATTCTACAGCTTCCTCTTCTGGGCAGTATGTGAACTTGTTAATGTTAAACACAGCTTGTCTTGAAACAGTTTCAACAACCTGTTTCTTGACTTAAGCAAATGTACTGAGGATAATTAACTTTATCCATGTGTTTCTGACCACCTGAAGACGCCTCAGTTTATTGTAAAACGGTGGCAGGTTACTGTCCCAGAGGCAGAGGTCTATAAACGTTTGATTTTCTGCCCAGATGAAGCACAAAGACAGTTGCTGTTTAAGCTCTTTTACTACCTGTTTATGTCACCATAATGATTTATGCTGTTAGACCTTCAAACTCCCACTTGTTTTATTCATTATCAGTTCAGAAATTAAATGGGGAACCTCAACAGATGAGGGACAGCTGGGCTTTTTTTTTTGCCTCCCCTCCAAATTTATCATGAACTCACTATTAATATACTTGACAGCTCATAAACTGAAACATGACTCAGACATCTATATAGGATTTGTTTGCCAACACTGGGGAAGTGGTGGGATTTAAAGTTTACTAAACAAAACATCCTCATCACAGAGATTTATTCAAAGAAGTTTAAATGTCTTAGTAGGCCTATGTGTTGACACACACCTTGACTCCATAACACAAGCAGCTAATGAAGTTTCATGTGATGAAAAGGTGAGTCTTTCTGTGTCTGACAGGAAACTATATACTCACTTAAGAAGCCTTAATGAATCCAAACTAGCCTATAAATATTATTTTTTCCCCTTTGGATGCTACCTTATGTAACTTTTATTGCAATGGAGAATTTGTACATGTGACTTCTGGGGTCAGTCTATGTACTGGTCTTGTTCAGCCTTTTTTTCCCCCAGTCAAGTATTAGAAGATGCTGCACATTTCCATTAGGACATGGAAATGAATGGCAGCTTCTTCCCTAAATGGGGACAATGGAATTCTCTATATTCCATGTTCAAAACGAGCCATGACCCTTTAAATGTACTCTAAATCAACTTTTCTTTTTTTTTTTTTTTTTTTTTTTTTTTTGGTACAGCTGTCTGGTTTGTTATATTTACAAATTAGAAAGTCTGGTAAAACTGTGTTAAGCAAATTTTATGCAGTGTATCCTGTAATCAAACTTCAGAAGTATTTTTTGATTTTTTTTTCTCTCTCTCTCTCTCTCTGTCTCTCTCTCTCTCTCTCTCTCTCGGTGTCCTACAGTAATTTCTTCATCCCTACAATGAAGTTCTTGTGTGCTACTGTCTGAGAGAAGCCGCAGAAATGCCTTGGCGCAGGAGCTGGAGACGTCATGGATTCCTGAGTGTGGGGCTTTGCAGGAAAGCCCTGAGTCTCCGACATGGACCGGCTCCAGGTTTCCATGGCAAAGGCGCACAAACAGGAGGAAACACTGAGGGAATCCCGTTATTTTACAGCATTGGACCATTATAAACACCCAGAGCGGGGAAGGAAGCCGCTCTAGATACTCAAGTAATCCTTATAGAGCTCTAGGAAGGGGGACTTCATACCAGAACCACTGCTGTAGCTGATGCGGCTGCATGTTTTTGAACAGAAAGGGAGTTTGCGCGCAGCTGCTGTGTCGCAGCTTGAACTTTTTGAACGTGTACAGAGTTTTTCTTTCTTCCCTGTTTCGACTCTTTTCAACTTTAATAACCGAAGAGCGCTTCCCCTGCTATGGTCGTTAGAGGAGAGTGATTTTTCATCTGTTTTTTTATTTTTATTTATTTTTCACTTTTTTTCTCCAGATGTTTAGAGATACTTGGAGGCTGGCACAGTACCACACCATGAGGTCGATGGATCAAGGTACTGCTGAAGTGTTGTGATTATCTGGTAATCAACCCATTTGATTTTCAATTGATAGAGCAGTGTTGGTCTGGAAGTGTTTAGGACTGAAATGATTTAGTGTCATGTGTCTAACGTGTCAGTGATAGCTGGTGTTGGGATGTTGATGTTTGGGCAGAGACATCCTGCCGCGCTATAGTGGAAGAGTGCGTCTTGGCACTAAAGGGAATCACCAAGATAATGGGGGAGAATCTTGAGCCTATTGGACGCATCAGAGTAATATAATAGTGATGAAAATGAAATTGTCAAACTTTTATTTTATCGCTGAAAACTGAAAAAAGTCATTTTGGATTAACCAAAAAAATAGGCTATGGGTAACACATAAGATATGAAAATCTGTCAAGCTTTAAATTTACATTTTTTGTGTTTTCAAGTCACGTGAGCCCACCTGACTATATCGGGTGTATTAGAACTTAAAATTGTCACTGATTTGTCCTCAATTAGTGCAAAGAGTAAAATATGGTGCAAATGATATGTTGCAATGGTTGTCACTTGTTGCTCGAATACGTTCTCGGATGTATAGCTTGTGTATATGGTACTAATGATTGCGATTGGTTCTGGTTCATTCGGGTTAGATTCCCCAATTAACCCATTATCAATGTTAGAATTGAGGTAGGATTTGCATATCACGTCGCCAAAAGAAGAGCAGAAAAATATTAAGCTGGCTGCGGGCTTCATGATGCACATCTGTCTTTTTTTGCTGACAGAGCATATAGGCTGTTGGTCCAGTGGGTATTAGGCTACAACTGGAAGGAACGCCCTTTTAGTACGTGTGCTGCGCTGTGCGTAAATCTGGGGGTTCCCTCGGCAGAACCTGTGCGTTCTCACCGACTGTGAAACAACAGGAAGTCCAATCCAAGACAGAGGGAGGAGAGACTGTGTGTGACGTGGCCATGTAGCAAGTAACTGTTTCAGTCCGCTTTCATCCATCCGTGATCCATCCATCCATGATCCATCCATCCACCCATGTATGTGCACATAACCCTGTACTAATGGACAGATGTAAGTCAGGTGAAGAGCCCAGTCAGCACCCTGCTGTGTCAGTGCAACATGTCAAACACCCGGGGGCAGCACCAGGCTGCACAGTCTGTCAAAAGACTCACAGCCATCTGTTTGAATGGGGTAGTTAATTCTTCACCCCCGAGCTTCACTTTTACCTTTTTTTTTCTCCTTCATCGACGCATCAACGAACAGGGGAGGCGCGATCAGACTCGAGAGGTGAATCGAAAACTCTGCGTTCGGTGTGAAAATAGACCCGCCTTCATCTGAAAATAACTGCGGCGAGCTCAAACAGGAAACTTATGCGCTTCACCTCCTGCAGCTCACCGATGCATCATTTGACACTTGAACAGGTTCCCCAAACCCACATCAGCGCCGCAGCACCTCAGCCGCGTCTCTTGCCGATTCGCCTGAACCCAGAGGAGACCGTCAGGAGAAATTTAGACAGATGACCTCTTTTTACGACGAGAAAGACTTGGAGGAAGAGCTCAGTCGAGTCAACTACCCTGATGAGGATTTGGAGTTTGAGTACTTGTTTGAATATGAGCCACCTTGCAGCGACTTCGCTGCGGGAGATCAAGGTTTGTCCGAGGCTTTCTGGCAGCCTGAGCTGACTCCGCTCCCTCTCTTGGTTATTTGTTGTCTAAAAGTTACTCTATAACCTGTGAGCTTTATTCTTATTAATGAAAAAGAGAAAGAGGAAGTAAGTTTGACAGGTTTTTGGATGTGGATTCTGACATCTAATATCCACGTGAGAATATGTCAACATGAGGAAGCTTTTTCCAGCTGATTAAAAAAATAAAATAAAATGCCTGCCCACATAAAATTGCTGTTAAAGTTGGAATTATGGGAAATATCTGTGACTGTGACCATGCATGTTTTACACATATGTGTATTGTGATGAATTTTACTCTTTACTCCCCTGCAGATGACCCCAACCTTGCATCTCACAAAGTCATCAGCCCTGAGTCTGAGCAGGCTTTCCCTCTGGAGGAAGCCTCCCCATACGGCATCAAGTCCTGCAGCCCGCCCTACAGTGAACACAACACTGAGGTTCTCTCAGGATATGACAACCAGGAGGCCAGAAACTACCTGGACAGTACCCGACCTCCAGGTCTGGCTCTGAGCCCGCGGATTGAAATCACTCCCTCCCGTGAGCACTACAACCATGGTCGGGACTCCCTGCAGAACCACCACCTGAACATTAGTCCCAGACCCACCCTCACTGTGCCTGGCCATGACAACCTTCCCTACCGTGAGCCCCAGTGCCTGAGTCCCGCCAGCAGCAACTCCTCCACCAGCTGGCACTCGGAGAGCTACTCCCCCTGGGCGTCTCCTTGCGTGTCCCCCAGCAGCGGCCAGAACCCCGGAGATCTCTGTCCCCGATTACAGAATATCCACACTGGCTCCCCGCGCACCTCCCCGGGCACCTCTCCTCGCACCAGCCTAGGTGAAGACGGCCTGGGACACCGCTCACCCTCCCCCAGACCTGGCTCCCGCTCCACCTCCCCACAGGGCAAACGCACCTACGACATGTACAGGAATCCAGGCCTAGTCCCTGGACACCGTTCCCGCAGTCCCTCCCCCCACAGCGGCCATGAAGATCACAACATAGGTGCCCACTATACACACAGCAGCCTTGCTGATGCCATGAATGGTTTTGCCACCGGTCAGCCAGGCCTCGTGCCCACTAAAATAGTCAAGACATCCAACCAGGTTTACACTCTGTACCCAGAGAACCATGCAGAAGGGAACTACTTGGTGTCCTGTGAACAGGACATAAAAAACAAACCTGCTGCAGAGCCTTTCTTTGTCATCCCCCCAATCTGGTCCAAGCCGCTGGTTTCCAGCATCTGCAGGTAAAATGGCCAGGAAACCAGAGCCTATTGTTTTGGTTTAAACATGCACTCAAAATCCTCTGGACATTTTACTCATAATACTAATGATTTTTATGATTTCTATCCTTTTCTGTATCCTTCATGTTTCTGTAGCATCCCTGTGGCTTCTCTCCCCCCGCTGGAATGGCCGATCCCCAGTCGCACAGACCAGTATGAACTCCACATTGACATGCAGCCCAAGCCGCACCACAGAGCACACTATGAGACAGAGGGAAGCAGGGGTGCAGTCAAAGCCCCCACAGGAGGACACCCTGTTGTACAGGTACGCCCAAAACAAGATACAATGAAGAAAGTACTTTTTATCAATTAAATCAGTACAATATAATTCATTTAGTCAAGCAGGTGAAAGCGCTGAGTGACCACATGAAGGCATGTTGTCAAGTTGTCCACTGAATTATCTTTCTAGTTTGGGAGCCTCAGGCAGCCCTGATGGGAGGGCTTGCGTGTAATGGTATTTCCTACTCATTATGCACTCAGTAGTGGTGGAGTTATTGCCCCGGGCCAGTCGTATGAAAATCACTGTAGATGAGTTACTCTGGTTACTCTGGCTACTCTAGCACCTTTCCCTTTTCTCATTTTTTGAAACAAATCATAAAGAGCCACCTAACCCCAGACATACATGTGACATACTGTAACCACCCTGTGGCCTCATCAGAACCCTCAGAACTGAACTCAGGTCAGTGAGCAACACATGCACCCTGATTTTTTTTTTTTTTTTTGAAAATGCTTTCTGCCTTCCAGCTTAAAATAGTCTGCTGCTGTGTGCCCTGACCACACAAACAGATCTGTGTTCGTGTTGTCCCTCACTTCCTCTTACACACTTGGTTTGTTGACTGTGTGGGAGTCATATTAGGAAGCTGACTTGCAGTGCTGAAACACTCAGCCTCTCTAGACACATGTAGAAATTAATGCCACAGAGCCTGCAGTTAAGATAATTGTAGATTGGGAAGAAAAAGTTTGCTGATATAATTTCTCTCACAGTCACAACATTGAATTCAAACACAGCATGTTGAAATTAGCTCTGACACAATTACAGTCTGGCTGTATTGTCCAAGAATAGGTTCAACTTCCCTTTCTTTGTGTCACCATGGCAACACTTCGAAGCAGTTTTTGTTAGTGATAGTGGGTATACGTTGGAAGTAAAGCTCCTCTCGCTCCTTTTCCATTTTCTGTCCATCCCCACAGGCCTCACCCTGAGGTCAGTTCTGCCTGGTTTGCCCGGCCAATCAGATGGTCAGGCCTGGCTAGCCACGGCTGCACTCCTTCACCTCGTCTCTCCTTTCCTCTTCTCCTCCTTTGCTCTCTATGTTTTTTTCCCTCCCTCCTCTCCTCTACACTCTTCTTTCTCTCTCTTTCTCTCTCTGAGCCTTGTACCCTCCACTTTACTTTTCCTACGCTGCTCTCTGTCATGACTCACTGCTCCTGCCACTGCCATGACAACCGGCCCGACTGCTCACATGGCCTGTTGAGTGTTTGCAGTCAGCTTCCTCTGTTGCACTCTGTGTGTGTCAGCTACCTGGAAATGGACCCAGCGTGCTCATTCATGTTGCCATAGTTTCTGCTTAAATTCAGCAGCTGCTGCAAAGTCTGACAGTTACATCCCCTTAGATCATCATTTCATACAAATGACTGATGGACACAAGTTCAGTTTCTGACCACAGTTAAAAGGAACAGTCTCTCCATGCTCCTATTTTAAATGAACTGTATTTCTAAGGCAATCAGGCACACTGCAGTGGCATCCTCTGTAGTCAGATACTTGAAAATGATACCTGTAGCGTTTGTGCCATCAATCTGAAACCATTATTCAGTGATAAAGGTTATGCGATAAACTGTTTGAACAAAAACAGCATTTAGATGCAAGTTGATGCTTTGTGGTTTTTGCAGGTTTCCTCAGGAGGAGGCACTCTCAGGTTAAAAGTAGCATCTCTCTCTCTTTCTCTCCTTCGCTATCTATCTCCAGTTTCACATTTTCACCTCTGTACAATTTCTAATTCTTGCGCCAGGACACTAAAAAGTCGTCAGTCTGGGCTGTTTATGTCATTTTCAGTTCCCTGAGTGAAAGAGAGGATCCCTGCTAAATTCTTCATCCAGTTATGAAAGAGCTGGTACAAGGCTGTAAGGGATGTGAGCTCTCTGCTGGCTTCTGTTCAAGGCTGTAGATGGAAGACTCATGCTTTTACACGTGGGTCTGACACTGATTAGCCACCTCAGGGGGAAACAACATCTGGAAAGAGGCTATGGAGAAACACAAGCAGTTTAAAGTGACTCAGACATTTCCTTCATACAAAGTCGCCTGACAGCAGGAGCTTTAAGTGAAGCAAAAAAACAAACAAAAAAAAGAGTCAAATGTCAAGTTTCTTGTGACTTTGTGTGTCTGCAGCTGCACGGCTACAGAGGCAAGGAGCCACTCGGCCTGCAGATCTTCATCGGTACGGCAGACGAGCGCATCCTCAAGCCCCATGCCTTTTATCAAGTCCACCGCATCACTGGCAAGACGGTTACGACCACCAGCTTTGAGAAGATTATCAATGGCACCAAAGTCCTTGAGATCCCCCTGGAGCCAAAGAACAACATGAAAGCAATGTGAGAATAACATAACTCTTCTTTTTTGAAAAAAAAAAAAAAAAAAAATTAACAATTTGCCATTGTTGCTTACATATTTATTCCTTATCCTAGAATTGACTGCGCTGGGATCCTGAAGCTCAGGAATGCCGACATCGAGCTGAGGAAGGGCGAGACAGACGTCGGCCGGAAAAACACCCGAGTTCGTCTCGTGTTTCGTGTGCACATACCTCAGCCTGGAGGGCAGCACGTCTCTCTCCAAGTGGCCTCGCATCCCATTGAATGCTGTAAGAAAACTACACAAAGGATTCATGATACGCTCTTGAGCTATTTTAACTTCTTTTAAAGGTCCCATATTTAACACTTTTCCTGTGTTTTATTTGAAATGTTGATATCCATAAGAAGAAGAATTTGTGGTTTTAAATACCAAAAACCTACTCAATGTACTTTTACATCTCCTCCCTCAGGCTTCTCTCTGGAGCTCTAGCAACAACAGGTCTAATAAAAATATAGCAGATTTTATGTAAACACTCAGAGAAACCAAATCCTGCAACGCTGGACGGTTGGTCCAGGTGGGTGGGACTTGGGGGCGTGGCTGAGGGTGATGACTTAGTCCTGATGGGTCGTTTTAAGGCTCAGTTCCTGAATACAGGCTGCGAGCATTTCTCTGTGGACTGAGGGCTTTGATACTTCCACAGTATTAATATAGAACCTAGACCTGCTTTATAATAAAAAAAGACATGGAAATTGACCTTTATACAATATGGGACCTATGAAATGGTTTTAAATTCTGATACAGTGCAGACTTTATGAATTCCCCAAGTGTGCTTCAAACTGCTGATGTTTTCATCAGTTAACAAAACTTTATACAAAATAAACATCATAAAAAAAGGGACCCACATTCAAATGAGCTTGGAGCTTGGCTGATAGTCCAGAGTCCTGTGCACAAAGATGTCTTTATGCAACCAGGGCTTCCATCCAGTAGGTGGGCGCCGCATGTTTCAGTGTCTGTGTACCTGTTTGAATGTGTGCAGTAGTAAAGTCAGTGTTTGGGTACATCAGTGCATGTGTACACAGTGTTATTAAAGCACCTGGTGTAATCAAAACTCAAACAAGAAGGTCCCTTTATCTGGCTTTGACCAGCACCATGGCCAAGACCTAACATGTTAATGTTAATGTGACATGGTCTGCATGCAATATGCTCCTGTCATTGTAAAAATTTGTGATGCAGAATATGATATCATTTTATAATCGCTGCCTCCCATCTGTTTCCCCGTCACAGAAAAAGGCAGAAACAGCAGTCGCTGCCCGTCTGCTGTTAGATAAACTTTAAAAACAGTTGCTGTCAGTGAAAACCAATCAAGCGTAAAGTTGCTCACAATGACACCTACGGTGCATCTGTCAGGCCCGTTGATAAGCAGGCCGGTGTTGGTGATGGTGCATTTGAGGAGACGTGGTTCCCCATGCTGGTGTCATCCTCTTTGTTTTATCCAGCAAACCCGTTCAAAGGTCAGAGCGTTGTTTGTCGACGCCTCAGTGAGTGTGGAGTTTCAGCTGAGCGAACAGGTGATAATACGCTACAAGATGAGGAAGCAGCACTTAACACAGTGTAGGACTGTTAGTGTCCAGTGTCTCTACGGAGCTGGTAGCTGATGTAATAACATCAGTGACATTAACCCTTTAACATTAACTTTCCTCTTATTATTTCCCCTCAAGTAGCTTCTTATTCTCCACTGTCTAGCATCACATATACACTCTGTGCTGTATCAAATTGTTCCAGCTCTTCATTGAAGCTATATGATGTTTACACTAAGTGAAACATGCAAACCCTGTGCAGTGCTCCTGTTCCATCATATGGAAATATTTTAATGCCTTGTGCATCATTTTATGCAAAATCCATCCTGACATATTTGGTGTGGATCTCTGCTAGATTTCAAAATAAAGTCCTGTGAGATTGTACATTGTTTAGCTGCACAGCAAGAACTTGTAATGACTGAACTTTGACAAAGATTTAACATTTAAAGCTTTACATGCAGTTGGTAGATATTATTTATTTCAAGGCTGTTTCATCAGATTGCATCAGACTGTATGTCTGGTGGCTCTCTTCGTTTGTCCTCTTGCTGTACACAACTAAAATTTCAGGCTGTCTCTCATGACCTCTCCCGCATTGTGATTCGACAGATTTATGTCACTGCTTATTAAAACTGAAAGCGAGGGTTTTGATGACTGGGGTTGGATGACTCAGTATCACCTTTTATTGTGAAGCAGTGTCGGTTCTTGGTAATATGTATTGTGCAGAAAACCAATACAGAGCTTTCGTATGAAGTGTTACATGTTTTCCCACTGTAGAGTTAGACTGTTGTTGCAGACTGCAAACTGTTGACAGCTGAAATATACGATTATTTTGATAATTGATTATGAAATGTCAAAAAACTGACAACATGCAACTTTCTGGAGTCAAAGGTGACTCTTCAGATGTCTTGTTTTGTCCAATTAACAGGTCAAAACTCTTATTCACATATTCAGTTTACAAAGAAAATCCTCACTTTTGAGAAACAAGATTTTTGTTTTTTATTATTTTATTTTTTTGATTGTCTCAATATAATTGTCTGTAAATGTAACATACTGCCCCTCTGTGTGTCTCCACAGCCCAGCGTTCAGCACATGAACTTCCCATGGTGGAGAAGCAGGACATGGACAGCTGCTCAGTCCTGGGCGGCCAGCAGATGATCCTGACTGGGCAGAACTTCAGCTCCGATTCCAAGGTCATTTTTATGGAGAAAACCCAGGGTGAGCGCTGTCAACACACACACACACACACACACACACACACACACACACACACACACACACACACACACACACGCACACACGCCCCAGCATTTAGGTCACCTAAGAAGACACACAATGCCAGTAAAGCAAACCTATGACTAAACCTATAAAATCTCTGTGCATCTGTTGGAGCTGCTGTTACACTACACAGTGTCACCACAACATTAGTGATAACCGATGACTCATAAGCAGCCATGTCTGTGTAACAAGTTTGTAGCATTCATATTTTACCACCTTCATTGTATAGATGGAGCCGCCTGAGTTCATTTGCATGATCCACATGATAACACCGCTGCCTGACTTCCTTTTGCCCTTTTCTTCCTCACTGACTTCCATGATGTCTTATCACTACTCAGATGGGCCTTTTGTTGTGTGATTAATGGTTCTGTGTGTCACATGAAATGTTGTTTCATGCACATTTGTTGGCACTTGTGTGGATCTGGAAGGGACTGAAGGATTTACTTTTATGTCCTTTCATAGAAATGAAATACTTTTTTTTTTAACCTCCTATTATTTAATGTTAGTAGAGAAATGGAAATAATGATCTTCTGTTCTAATCTTTTGCAAAATGTATAGGTCGAAATGGAATTATTTAAGTATGATTGGTATAATTTCACGTGCGTGAGTTCAAAAGAGTCGGTCACTCATTGACCTTGACACAGGGATGTTTCACTCTTTTTGGCTACATAAGCTGCTTAGCTGTTAAAAAACAAATTTTAATGTCCCATATTTAGAATTTTTATTTGAAGTGTTGATATATTAATAAGAAAATATATTTGTGGTTTTTAAGAACCAAAAACCATCTCAATGTAGTTTTACATCTCCTCCATCTTGAGCTCTAGCAACAACAGGTCAGTGAGCCAATCAGAAGAGAGGAGGCTCTGAGTCTCTCTTCTGATTGGCTGACTGTTTTCTGAGTGCTTGAATAAAAATATAGCAAATTTCAGGTAAACACTCAGAGAAACCAAATCCTGCAAGACTTGATGGTGGGTCCAGGTGGGTTGGGCTTGGAGCATGGCTGAGAGCGGTGACTGCTTTGTTGTGACATCGCAAAGTCATAGAAGTCCTGACGACTTGTTTCAAGGCTCATTTTCTGAATACAGGCTGTGTGCATTTCTCTGTGGACTGAGTGCTTTGATACTTTCACAGTATTAACATAGAACCTAGACCTGCTTTATAATCAAAAAAGACATGGACATCTCACTTTATACAATATGGGACGTTTTTAAAGGGAGTGAGTAGTATTGTGTGTCTATGAAGGGATTATTTCATATAGTTTTGTGTTCATCACCTGCTGTAAATCATGTAAGGTTATTTGGGATGAGAGTGTTGGGGATGGGGAGAGGGTTATGTAAAAAGACTTTTTTTATAGATCGACTTTTTTTACTGTCTGATATTGTGACTCACTGACTCCACTGCTGTCTGAGAGCAGAGAGCTTGGCCTTTTTAGATGCAAGCACTTCACAGGCTACCCTAACTAAAACTTGGACCCCAGGCTACTTTTTTTTTTTGTCCGGGGTTCCCTGCCGCTGTGTTACGACACACAGCAGTAATGGATAGTAAGACAGAGACGGAAAAAGAAACCTTACGAAGAGGGATTGCCATTGTTTTGGAGAGTTTCTGTATGACACAAAGTTCTGGACTAGTGCAGCTGTGAAATCCCTCAGAATGAGAGACAGCTGCCTCTGGCTGGAGCTCCCCTGGCTCTTGTGCTTGGACAAGGAGGGTTGTACGGAGGGAAGGAAAGCTTCCACGGCCAAGTCAAGCCTGCTCAGGCTCCTCTCTCTCTCCTTCTCTCTCCCCCGTTTCCACCTCCACACAAAGTTATCTCCAATGGGAGAACAAGTCGGGGTATCCCTTAGAGTAGAAACGCAAACAAATACAAACGCCAAGAAAGCAGTAATCATCACATTCTGTGAGAGAAGTGGAGAGAGTTGATCATGAAAATACAGTTTAAAACAAAAGTTGGCAAGATGTATGGAATCCCCCTTCCTCCTGCTGACTCATTTAAGCCATGTGTTTTTCATTTGCAATTTGAGAGAGGGTTTCCCACCTACAGTAACAAACTCGCTGCAGCACATGTCATATCATGTGTTCGGGCCACATGGAGTTTACGTTCCACATTTAGTTTTTAACCTTTTCACCCAAATGACAGCTTAAATGTAATCTGATGAAGTGTGATGTAACATGACATGGACCATCATCGCTGCAGAAAAGTCCAGATGCTCGCAGTTCTCATCACATCCCTGCCAATGTTGTGTTTCTGCTTCCTACATTAACATTCGGTCAGAGCTGCATTCAGGAGTAGACAGGTGTGTCTTCCACAGACTGTTTGCGGGTGAACCTACTGGTCATTGCTAACTTTAGCTGTGACTTAAAAGTGATATAATCTACAAGCACAAAGAGCCTTTTTCTTTCCACATGATTTTTAAAATAAATGTAGCCAGACAGACGTTGTCTGTGCATCTTCTGTTTATAACAGAATAAGGTAATTTCTCCAAAGGATAGTATTCAACATTTTCCAAGTTTACAGGCTAGAGATTTGCAGAATTTTACCACTGTCTGGTGCATCTTGAAACAATCAACCTTACTTACTTTAATCCATAGTTAATTACCACATTGTTTGACTGCGGTTTTCACTTTCTCTCTCTTTGCTTCTTTCTAGATGGGCAACAAATTTGGGAAATGGAAGCAACAGTGGACAAAGACAAGAGCCAGCCTGTACGTATAATTTTACATCAGAATCCGTTTAATGCAAAAATCCACACAGAACATGTCAGTTGTCATGAATTAGTAGCTCAGTTCAAACAAACAGATCAGTTTCAGTTCATGACAAGGTGCTTTCTTGCAGAGTATGCTGTTTGTGGAGGTGCCGTCCTACAGAAACACGTCCGTCTGTCATTCTGTCAAAGTGAACTTCTACGTCATCAACGGCAAGAGGAAGCGCAGCCAGCCTCAACATTTCACCTACACACCACTGGCATGTAAGAATGCTAGTCAACCTCTTTGTGGTATGCTGATGTCTCACACTGAGATTTCAAAGTAAAATGATAAGATTTTGATAAGACTGTTATTATGAGTACATAGATGAAATGATTTGCACACAACTCCCTCTAAGTCATCTATTTGATCTTTTGTCTTCTCACAGCTCCATCCATCAAGACAGAGCCTTTAGATGAGTATGAAGCAGACCACATGGGCTTTGCAATGCCTCAGATCTTAGGCTTATCCCCACACTCCTACTACCATAACCCACGCAGTGTCCTCCACCCAGACAACGGCCTGGTCTCTGGCAGCATGGCCTCCTGCCAGCGTCTCAGCTCCAGCCTCCCCAGCCAGGACGCACGTTTCCAGCAGCAGAGCCCGGCCATCGTCTACTCTCGTGGGGGGAAGAGTCTGAGCGGCAGCCCAAGCCTTTATCAGCAGACTGGAGGGATGATGGCTGAACCCCACCGGTCGGTCCTGGTCCACACAGGCTCCCCGGCTCAGTCTGTAGGTCCCATCAGCGCAGGCCAGCACCCTTCTATCATCCAGTTCTCCCCCACCAACCACCACCTACTCCGGGCAGGAGACCCTCAGCCTCTCGCTGCTCCTCAGCCTGACACCCAGCAGATCATCTACTGCGATGGCTACTCCCCTCAGGCCGCCACCTCCCACTCGCCCACATCCCCCCAGGCTCAGGCGGCGGTGACACACCCTCAGCACTATCCCACCGTGATCCAGCAGCAGCCCTACACACAGAAGGGGCAGCAGAAAAGCCGGGCTGCCCCTGGCACAGGGCAGGTGGAGGCTCCAGGGGATGGACAGAGGAGGGTGACAGTTAAAGAGGAGAACCTGGACCAGGCCTACCTAGATGATGGTGAGTGTAAGTTATTGCTTTTATACTCTGTGTGAGTGGGATTGCTTGTTGTGTCATTCACAGTGTGTGTCTTTATCAGCTAAGTGTAATGAGGTGAAAATAAACAGACAGACAAAATGATGGATATGTGCAATTCTCTTTTGTGAAAGCGATGGATGATAAGACATGGGAGCAGAGATACATTTCCTAAGAACAATTCAAGGATATTTACAATGTCTGCGCCATCTCCTTCGCATATCCTGGTCCAATCTACGTGCTACAGTATCCCTCTGAACAAAGTCAACAGAACAAGCTCACACTGTTAAAACAATCCATGCCAAAGGTGGAAATAACAGGGATTATGAGTCATATGTTTATACTTATGCTTGTCAGCCTCATTACCCTCTGACAGAATTAATGTCAGGTCACATCCAGCAACAGGCAAGAGGTTGAACCGCTTCTTAGGTTCTACAAATTATATTATGTTTTATAATAGAAGAGAAAGTGATGCAATATTTTTCTTTTCTTCAGCCCGTGTCAGTCAGGTGAGGTTTAAGGCAGTTTGAGGTTGTCCATTCTGCTGGACGCAGGGGTTTTGTCTGGCACCGCTGCACATCAGGAAATTAGCTTTTTTCTCTCTCTCGCTTTAAAGACAGCGAGGGAGGGAGAAAAAAGTGTCACTCTCCTGACCGCCTCGACATGTTGACACTGTTATGAAGTGAAAAACAACTTCCATGGCAACCATTGTCAAACAGTGGAACGGGCTGCCTGGGAGAGCTGGGGAAAGCCTCTTTGTTTGTTGTAGTTGGCCGGGGCTTCTCCTTGGCCTTACGCCCCTTGATTCTGTTGGGGAACCCACCAGAGGATTAGCTTTTTTTCCGACCACGGGATTCTGCCAATCTGGCACAAGAAATTCCTATTTGCAGCTGCTCTCCTCCAGAAATCCAGCCTGATCCCTGTAAGATAGCAGGAGGGTGGAGGTTGGTTTGCAGGAAAAGGAAAGACGCTGTGTGTCTGTGTGTGTGTGTGTGTGTGTGTGTGTGTCTGTGTGTTTCAATGGAAAAAATGAAACGAAGAAAAAAAGGCCAGCGAAGGAATTTGTGTTTTTTGGATGGAGCTTGCAGGGTTTCCCTCCGCAGTAAACAGCAACAGGGCTGTGAGTTTGTGAATTAACAAGCAGTTTGAGGAACAGTCACAGTGAGCCTCCAGTTTGATCCTCCCATCATCAAAAGGCGTTGACGGCCAGTCAGTCTCCCCAAGGTGCCGCTGCATCTTTGTTCAGTCCATTTTTTTTTTAAAATTCAAATCACACATTACCTTCTCCCTGAAAATCTTATAAAAAGGGTTAGGGTTAGTTGGATTTAATTGGTTCAGGAATTTTTTATTATTTTATAACTATAATATAAAGCAAAAACCTTATTAATGATGTGTTTACAGTTGCAGTTGGATTGCATTCCCCCTCTTATCACTCCTACAGGTGATAATCCACCACCGCCATCATTGCAGGGTCTAGTCATCACCTTTTAATGAAGAAAAACAATCGGGGGACTTCCCAATATTCAAAACTTTTTTTTTTTTTTTTTTCAAACAAAGGTGAGAAGATAAATAAGGTCAAAAAGTCCCTCTGGTGTTCAACTGCAAAGGTGATGAAGGGAGATTCTGACCACAAACAATCATTTAAGTTAGGACCATCAAACACATTTTCACCAAAGCGAGACTGTCAACATTACTCATCGAGACATGTGCTTCAGTCTGTAGTCACTTTTGGAAAAAGGGGTGATGCCACATCCTGGTATCATCACAGTGTTGTGGTCGATAACTGTCACATCTCCGAGGTACCTGAATTGTGTCAACCTTTAGTGACAAGTGTTAAAAAGAAAGTCTCTTTCATTTTGTATCCAAACCTGGCTCATAATCCCTCCCACACACAAGATTTGTATCTTCAGAGCTCACACAAGTTGCTATGCCTCCTGTTGCTGCTCAAACAAGACCCAGTTTGTTGAATGATATTTCCATTCTTTTATCCTATTGAAATAAAAATAAAAAGATACCTGTAGAAACCTGCCTTACCTTTCGACCGCAGAGGTCAAGAATGTCTGGAATAGCTCACTGCGTTCCACATAGTTTGTGAAAACCAAAAAACGAGCCACTGGCGAAGGCTACAAAGGCTGAGAGTGACAGATTTAGTGGGTGTGGAATAAAGCCCAGAGGCAGTGGAGCAGGTGAAATTGTTCCAGCAGGTAGAGATCAGGGCAGGAGAGATAAAGCACATAGCAACAGCCTGGTGGGCACGCATTAGTCTCAGCTCACTTCCATCCCATTTCCACAGCTTGGACTTACAGCCGCAGTGATGAGTGCATAACAGCTGCTTGAAGACACGTAATATTGTTTAATTTACTGCGCACAAGGTATTTCGGAGAGTTTGTTCATGTGTGGAGATTTTGCCCCTGAAATGTCTTATCTTAAAACAATACTCAGATACTCAATGTAAGGTGCACAATGTAAGGTTTTTGGTTGTTGTAATGCTTCTTTCTCTACTCAATGTGAGTCTTCCAAATGCAACTATACTGTAAGACAAGGGAGTGAAGATCCACAGTCTTTCTGTAGAAAGAGTCTGTAGCCCAGTAGTGATTGGTGAGGCTATGCACAGTGGTGCTTTGAGCTAAATGCTATTCATCAGCATGCTAACATGTTCACAATGACACTGCTAACATATTGATGATAAGTTGGTACAATAGGTTTGCCCACTAAATCTGACTTTAGTGTGTTAGCATGCTAACACTTACACACAGGTATTTGGTCAATGACACAAATTGACACTGTGACCTGTTGATGGCGCTAAATGAAAAGTCATGCAATAGTCAAAGTTACTACAGTTCAATTCATTCACGTGTACTAAATTTTACAACAACCCAATATATAGTTGGCATGACGTTTCCCTCAAAATCCCAACCGCTAGAGGAAAAGTCAGGGTCACCAGTCAGTGTGATTAATCCTCTGTGGACCATGAATGTGGCACAAAATTTAATGGCAGGTGTTGAGATATTTCAGTCTGGACCAAAGTGCTGGACCACCAGACTGACATTGTTATCCATAGAGCCAAGCGTAGCATCACTAAGTTCATCTGAAGCTAATATGAGACTTCAGCAGTTTGTCAAATTAAGTGAGTATCTCCCAAAGTTACTTTTGCCATTTCAAAATTTTCTCTTTGTGATTCCTTAGACAGTGCTTCCCTCGCTGATCAGGTGTAGGGGCCAGTAACACAAAGAGGGACTTGTACTGAAAAGGCTGTATATCAATACCACTACCCAGTTATCCCATATTAAAATATACATACTAACTGTGGCTGAACTTTAGAATACATTTTTGCACAGAAAGGAATTTGATTTACGCTACATTTCATCTATTATATCCAGTATAGAGAGAGGGAACAATTACAGCAACAAGTAACTATTTCGTTGTACATATGAGTGTGTGTGAGTATTATCTCAAGGCAGACTTGTTAATGTGAGCACTGACACACCGGATCTGTGGTTAGCTTGGTGGTTAGCTGTCAGTCCAGTCACTCCACTTTCTCTCTGTGGTTTTCAGCTTCATGCTGTCATTACAGTCCCACACCAGCCTCACTCGAATCAATCCAGTCAAACGCAACCCATGAACGTACCGTGCACCCACTCTGCACACGCAAACACACACACACACACACACACACACACACACACACACACACACACACACACACTGTATGCACATGCAAATACTCGCGGACACACAAACAACACACACATTCCAGCTCGCAGCAGGCAGCGTGCAGCGACTGAGTCAGCTACTGTATGAGGTGTCTCTCTCTCTCTCTCTCACTCTCTCTCTCTCTCTCTCTCCTCCCACCGTCGGTTGGTAAACAGTGCAGCTCATTGGTGCAGAACTCAGGAGCCAGACACTCACCTATTGAAGAGACTAGCCCGAGTGTTCCCTCAGCCAGCCTCAAATAGCCAGTCCGTGCCAACCCTTCATTAGACTGAGTAAAGCCCCACTGTATATTGCCCCGCTGCGGCGCTCCCGCTGCTTCTCTAAGCTCGTTTTATGCTCAGGAAAAAATCCTGTGGCACTGCTGGGGAGATGAAAGTTTCTTTAAGGCATTAGGTGTCAGAGGGAATTCCACTACAGACTAAAATAAACATGGACGCTGATGTTGTGACGACAGCAGAGCGCCCGGTTTGGCTTGCTCCCTTCAGTCTTGCGACTCTCAGATGCTGCTCTGGCCATAAAGTGTGCTCAGTGTTGAGCCGCTGTAACGGGCCGTTGCTCTTTCACATCTGCAAGTGATCAGATGGAGGCAGCAGGAGAGACACAGAGGCACACAAAGATCAGTTTGTTGGATGGTCGAGCATTTCTGTCTCATTGCTTAATCAAAACACTTCACTGCAGTTGTGCTACTTAATAATTTATGTTAAAGAACAACAGTTTCTCTCCCAGTCCAGACAGTTTTTTGATTTTATTTACAGCTCTTGACTGTTGGTCTTATATAGGAATATGCCATTACCTTGAAACAGTTTTTTTTTAAAGCTAATTGTGTGTTCTGCCTTTCACAGCCTGTTATCTGCTCACAGATGCTGTCGTGTGGGTGAGGTGGCATCTGATTTCACTTTACGTGTGTTTTAATAGTTGCACCCTTGGGCTCGCAGCTATGTAAATCAAGGCTTTAAATAGAGGGTGCACAAGCCGGCTGAAGAAAGTCCCTCTACCTCTAAAATAAGGCAGTGCAAGGTAGCAACATGTAGTATTGTTTACCAAATCATCTTAATATCTTTCATTCATTCATCCAACCTTTTGTGTTGCTGTTAATGTTATTTTGTTAATGCTAACAATCAAATTCTAACATATACATTTTTTTACTTAAAGTAAATAGCCCAATCCCAAAGTTTTGCCCATCGCCATGGTTGCAAAATCACAGACATGATATTCCTCTTGAATGGCGTGGTTTGCAGGCAAAAGCTTTTTTGGCCCACTTTGAAATCCTCATATTACTCATCGGCCCTAATGAGTTCCCCCAGGGCACAGTGAGAGCAGTGGCACCATCCTATAATGCCTCCAAGTGCCAGTGTACACAGTCAGACACACAGGAGGCTTCCAGGCCTGCGCTCCCAGATAAACACCAGAGCTAAACACAGACGGCGTGGCATATCTGGAGAGATGACATATTACACATAGCTGGCATTCCTTCCTGCTTGATGCAGAACTACCTGTTGACAGTCGAATGTTTGAGTGTATGTGAGCTGGTGTAATGGTCGCTAGCTGCACTTCCTCCACACTTAACCGCTCGGGTGTAAGTCGTTATTTTATCAGCACGTACACAACAAAGCTCCACATGCACCAAACCCTGTAGTTGTAGTATGTTAGCAGGTGTAAGAAACAACAATTATTCAAGCCACAAATCCAAACTTTTATTTTATTTTTAAAGGTTTCATTGCCACCCACCCCTCTGCTGACTGTGCGTCTATTTTTAGAAACATGACACTGTGAAAGTTTCCATTTCAACACCCTTCTTCCTCAGTTGAATGTCTGTGCACAAACTTGTAGTGATCTGAGTAACAGGAAGTAATCATCTTATAGGCTCTTGTATATCTCTACCTCTAGTGGTGACTCAGTATTAATGCAGCATTTATCAGCCTTCCACCAATGCCCTGCACAGAAATGTCAGTCGGACCATAATTCATTTCTGTCAACAGTGTTTAAGGAAAATAAAATTTTAGGAATTTGAGATTTTATTGTCATTGTCTAACAACCCTTCTCTTTCTTTGCTTTACAGTGAATGAGATCATAAGAAAGGATCTGACGGGCGTTCAGGCCAGAGGGCAGACATAGAGGACGGACTCGAGCAGGAAATGACAACACCCCCCCCCCCCCCCCCCTCGACACACACACACACACACACACACACACACACACACACACATACACACACACACACAGTCTTCAACCTTCCATTGAGATGATGCACTTCCTCGTTTCCTTTACTCGTAGAAATAGAAATATCAGCTCTGAACAGTTGTGTTTGCTTTGGATGTTTTCCTGCAAGAAACATGCACCAAACAGAAGAATTCATTCGACCTGTAACGTCTGCCACCAATGCATCAGGCCAATGTGCCTTATTTTGTTCATCTTCTCTTCAGGTTCCACTGCTTTACAAAGGAATAAAAAAAGATAAAATCAGGGCAAATAAAAATCCTGAGAATAGCAGCAGCAATAAAATCACATCTGTCATCCTCTGACATGTGAATGATTTCGGGTTGATATCACACCAAAAATTCACCCTAAATACAACATATACGACATAAGTGGCCAAAAGTTTGTCGTCTTTTTCTTTAATTCTTCTTGCACAAAGTGTGTATGTTGTCTGTGTATAACGTTGTGTGCTCACATGCTGATCATCTCATTTTAAGTGCAGTTTTTCTAATCGAAGTGAAACGCGCACTGCCTTATAACCATATACAAATGAACTATTGTGACGCCTCCTAATATGCACTGTTTTCAACAACAGGAGGTTAATGTTATTACATTTTATATAATGAGTCATGTGAATAATGTACCATTTTTATATTCGTAAAATATATATTGCCAAAGTGGCTTCACAGGAGCCTGTGATGCAGCGGTGATAGCATGGGTCTGCCTTTCCTTTAAATGATTTCTGTGCTTGAGTTGATTTTAGTTTTCAATCTTGCATTGAACATCATTTAAAAACGGCTCATGAAAGCTGAAGTGAGAGGTTTTGTACACTCTGAACTAAAGGTGGTTTTCTAGCTTTTTTTTTTTTTTTTAATCAAAAATTTTCTCTATTTTATTTGTTGATTGTAATAACATCTGTGGCTTTTTCCACAGTCTTAACACAAAATATCCAAAGCTTATAATGTGTGTATTGTTTTGTGTACTGTGTGTTTTGTGTATACCCATAATGACAATCAGTATACTCAAAGCTAAGTGCCTGCCTATGCAGAAGCTTCGTGCTTGCCGATGTAAAGAGCCTACGTTTTATTTCCTGTACCTGCCGTCATACTGAAAGCACAGCAGTGGAGACACAGTATGGATTACTGATGTGCTAACACAGCTGGCTTTGATGAAGAAAAGGCAGTTGTTAAAATACATATATTTGTAATATGGTAATATTTCACTGAGTGAATTGGAGTACCTGAAAAGTGCTAAGTGCCATTTATATGATTGTAAAGAAAAACAAATGTTGCAAGTGATGTAAAAGTGGTTAAAAACACATAATGGAAGTAAAATATAAGACTGAATCTCAATGTTTCATATTTTATAGGGACCTATTTGATAATAAGATTATATTGATCAATATTAGTAAAGCTAATATTGAACTATTAATGATATTTTTCATTGAGCCAGTACAGCACAAGTGCATTTGACATTTCTTGAATGTAATCTATATGAAATTCCCCTTTTCTGTAAATAGTAGATAAGTGTGATTGTGTTACGATGAAGTTTGAGTAGACTAAAATACAAACGAGTTGTCTGTTATATCTTTTATCTGTTTATAATTTACACAATGATTTAGTTATCATTATATCGTTCATCTGTTTTATTACAATGTAAAACTGTCTGAAGGGAATTATGATACATTACCTAAAACTCATTAGAGTATCCCTTTAATAGGTTATATTTTTGTTTATGCGTTTGTTATTGTTATTTTACAATCCTTAAAGAAATCTTTGGTAATGAAAGGGTTATTAATACTGTCTTATTTTATTTTTCTGTGTTGATAGTTGTCTTGTATTTGTTCCATTTTGAGTCTTTGTGCCTCCTAAAAAGTCTCTGTTTCATGCTATTTTTGTATCCTTAAAAGTAGAAATAAATAACCATATCCATCAAGATTGTCCTTGTTTTTAATGCATCAACCCTGTTATAACCCACTCTAACATTAAGTGTACTGTGTACTGTCAGTGTGTAGAGCAGACACAGCTCAGAGGTGTCTCTTCTCTCTCTCTGGTTCCTATTATGAGAGGAAAATTGAAAATTAGTAGACTCACTGCAGACAGTGACTCATCAAATGCTCCCCTCCTGTCCTGAGCCAGGAAAAGAGACACCCCTGGGAGACCCAGCGTGTTTGTTTTTACTTTATGCAGCATAAAAATATTCAGAACTTAAAAGTTGAACCTGGTAATATTGCACTGTTTACACAGCCGCACGTGACCGTGGACAGTGCTCACACAGTTTCAAACTCAAATGCTCCCTCAAATAACAAATAACAACAAGAAAGGGGACTCACATGCCCGGAGGCTGCAGTTGCCTTGGCGACGGCTTGTTTGGTGCTTGGTCCGCGAGTCGGGAAGGCCTCTGTGAATGAACCTTGTGTTCAGGAAGTCTCTAGTTATGACATCACCATGGGTGAAAAAAGCAGCACGTGGGCTCCTCTGCATGAGCCGTCTCCAGCCCACTCATACAGATATGCCACGATGACTCATGCGGCCTTTAGCAGGCGGTGGTGTAATGAGTTAGGACCGCGTTCAGATTCACTGTGTGAAATCCAACAAGAATGAAATACATGATGAGCTTGGCATTTCATTCAGCTCACTTTTGTGTTTTCTCAAAAACAAAAAAATTGACTGATGACTCATCCTGACACAAAGGGCATCGAGCTTAAGTCACCACATTAGCATTGCTTTACTGATGAATTAAATCCCCAACATATGAATGAGCACCGGATTTAAAATGAGTATGTTCAAACCCCTGACGGGCTGGATTTACTTTATGTACCAGCCTTTCATTCCATCAATCAAGTATCCTGATATTATGTTAAAAGAAGAAAAAGTGACAGGGTCGGCTGCAGAGCAACTGTATAATGGGCTGTTTGTGTGGAATAAAGATGACATTGTGCGTTTGCAGACACTTCTGAAAACTAAGCATCATTTTCTCAGAGACGTGAGTCAGTTTCCTGGGCTTCAGGTGTCTAAATCCTGCTGCACAGATGGATAAAATTTGCATGAAAACATCATCCGCATGAAAGCAGTGATTAAATGTGTCAGTCTTAGAGATGAATGGTGTTACTGTCTCTCTCATTTAAAGAAATATAGGCTACAACCAGCTTTGAATTCATATGTGGAGCAGAAAACTTCAAAAGTTGTTTTTCATATAAAAAACACAGTGAAAGAAATCATCTCTCTATATGAAAAGATGAAAAGCCAGACAGAGACTCACTGTGTGCAGTTACACTACTGCATGTTCATACCCTGTGTTACAGTGACAACTAGTGCAGCGAGAGGAAACTCACAGTGAGTGGTGAGCTCTGCTGGCGTCCTGCAGAGGGAGACAAGAACCTGTGAATGTAAATCAGAGGCACAAAGAACAGCCCTCAACTGGAATCAAGAGACAGTTACTCAGGTACCTTATAAAACACAAGTGCCCCCTCTGTAGCGTAATGGGAATACTTCAACACAGTGTATTTTTTTGACACTGAATTGAATCTAATGAAGCACATATCAGCAGCTAACAAAAGCCTCTTTGACAAAACAGCTGCAGCTTTATTTAGTTTTCTTAAAGACACTTGACGACTTCCATTTAATAAGCTGGTTCTGTAAGTCAGCACATAATCAGGCTGGTAAAAGCAGACTCATCAAGTGCGACGTGAAGAAGTAAAATAGAAAAGCCTGAATGCAGAGGAGCAGGAAGAAGCAGGAAAATTATAGAAAGGAGCAGACATGCAAAAATAGATCTGACAGACATTGCAAAGGCTCTTTATCAGTTCTGAATTCAAAATGTGCATCTGTAGAGAGTTGGCTAATCTTACTGTAGAAACTTCATGGTGCATTTGATGAGTAATCTCATGACATAAAACCAACGAGTCTTTGTATGAACTGTCAGTTATAGGAGTGTCAATCATATGTTGAACAGACAATCTGAGGCCTATACAAATTTATCTCCCCAAATTTCAACATCCATAAGAGATAACTAACTTGAATGTGAAAACATGTTACTGTCAGCACATCAAATTGATGCATCTCCTTCTGGCCTCCTTATGAACTGATGTTCATAGCAGAAATTGAGCCATAGGCCTGATCAGTGAGCGCTGCGATAACTGACTGATTCAAAGAAAAACAAGGAGAAAGACTTATACATGTGTGACCAGACACAAAGGTGTAAAATTGGGGAAAGAGGAATATAAAATAAATTCTTGTAAACTAAAAGGGAGGATATTTACATGAATAATAGATTTAAAGAAACATGTAGTGTCTCAGTTTAATAAACATTACTTGGCTCTTTCTTTTAAGAATAATAAAAACAGAATAAATAATGGCTCAAGTTTTTGGCTCCCCCCTACAAACTCTGACCAGTTACCCCAGCTATAATATACCTGTAAATCAATGAATATAGCATTTTGCATTTCTTGCTGCTGAACTGCCACATCAGGTAACAAACACAGGAAGATTGACAGACTATTTAGTCTGTAGATGACTACTGTGGACATCACTTAAGACTAACCAGAGGTACAGTATAATGATTTGCTGAGGCCCAATCAAACCTATGAGATGATCCAGACATGTATTTGGGGCATCATGCAACTAGCTTCATCACCAAATCAACTCACACCCTGTCACAGTAGCAGCCCCAGTACTATAGTATAATTATTTCACTGTTTAATGATAAAATGTCATTATGCAGTGTAAGTGCATGCAAACCTTCCTTTTTACATCTCACAGTGACAAAACCAAAGTGTGCAGAGCCAAACACACAGTCCAAACTGTTGAAATGGTGTATTATTATCTATTATCACCGGTTGGTAAAATCCCACTCTTCCTCCGAGGTGAATGGTGACATCAGCTCTGAAGTGGCCCTGATGCTCATTAAATCAGAGGAAACAACAGGCTCCAGTGGTAA